GCCTCTGTCATCCTTCAGACTGACTGGCACTCATGAAAGCCATATTCGTGAAGCGCAAGCCGGATTTCGTCAAGGTCGTGGCTGCATTGACCACATGTTCACTTTGCGTCAGTTGTTGGAGCACCGTCACATATATTGGTGGCCCACCGTTGTCATGTTCCTCGATATCAAAGTGCTTTCGATTCGGTGGATAGAGGTGACCTTTTGGACTGTCTGCTATGGAAAGCTGTACCCGAGAAACATGTAAATATTATCCGATCATTATACGCGCATAGCACGGGCAGAGTGAGGGCTTATGGCAAGCAGCCGCCATCCTTCAATATCTCCAGCGGTGTGAGACGAAGATGACTGCTGTCACCTTTCCTCTTCAATTTTGCTATTGACGAAGTCATGGAAATCGCATTCACAGGATACGACTTAGAAGCTGTGGATCTGCTCCCAGGAGAACAACTTCTTGACTTGGAGTATGTTGGCTATATTGCCCTAATCTGTGACAGCTCACAAACGTGTCAAGCGGCACTGAACAGATTAGCACTGGCTGTCCGTCACTTCGGGCTTTGCTTTGCACCCTCGAAGTGCAAAGCCTTCAAGATTGGCCTGGACCGCCTCATGCGCTGACCGTTGGTGGGGATCAGCTAGAAGTCGTTCAGAAATTCAACTACCTGGGAATTTGTATCGGCGCCCATGGGATTGACTATGAGATCACGAACCGTATAGCAAAAACTCGAGGCGCTTTTGCTAACCTTCGCTACTTATGGCGCAGGCGCGACATCACTCTCGCCCTGAAGGGTAGAGTGTACAATGCAGCTGTACGTTCGACCCTACTGTACGGTTGTGAAACCTGGCCGCTTAAAGCAGCGGACATAAAGAGGCTAGTTACGTTCGACCACCGGTGCCTTCGCATTTCGGCTCAAATCTGGTGGGAACACCGAGTGAGCAACGAGCGTGTTCTACGCCTTGTTTACGGCACAAGAAAAGGAAATGAACCGCTCAGCACTGTTATTTCACGCACCAGGCTCTGATGGCTTGGCCACGTGTTACGCATGTCAGCCCACCGACTCCCGCGACGTGCGTTGTTTGCGCGCCGGGGGTGTGGATGGAAGAAGAGGAGAGGTGGCCAAGCGATGACTTGGTCGAGAGGAATGAAGGCCCTCACTTCTGAGCTGGCCTCGGTTGGAGCGTTTCGGCTCCGTGGTTGGGATCCGAAAGACGATGAACACGTTTGGCTGGATACACTTGCTGATATAGCTAGGAGCCGACCACAGTGGCGTTCGTGCTGTGAGTTTTTCGTCCCACCACATCCCTCTTAGCCTCCGTCGCCAAACATGTTCTCACTACTTAGACTTATATGATTTTGCCTAGTAGCCGGCTGGTAGCTTTCCGGAACGATGCCCATCCGTGGCTAGTAGCTCAGCTGGCTTGCATCTGTTTCTTTTTTTATGTATTGCGTCACAGTAGCTGAGGTGTTTCCCACCTCTAGCTAACGTGTATAATGATTAGGATGCTCTCCCAAACCACCTTGGAACCCTGCACCCTAAAACTTGGCAAGCATGGTGCGGCAGCAATTTACCCGAACTGTTTTCTTGTCCTCACTGAGCTGATGGGTCGCCCAGCGTTCGCAAACCTTTCAGAGGGCGAGGTTCTTATGTAAGGTAGTGCGGATTTATGCCGGTGAGGTCCCAGCTGTACCACCATATTCACCTGAGCGTCCTCCTCCAGCATCGCTTGCACGGAAGCAATGTTTTCCGCGATGGAGACCTCCACAGGTCGGCCACACCGTGCCTCATCATTCAGGGACCGCCTGCCACGCTCGAATTCCGCAAACCATTCAAGCACGGTGGTTCTTGACGACGCATCATCACCAAACGTAGCACACAATCGCTTAGCACTGTTGCGGCTTTTAATCACATTTATAGTCAAAGACAATCATCGTCCACCAGTGACATCGACTGAGTTCCATACTTACAGTCAGAATATAGCGACCTTTATGACTTGTGAGCTGTGCTGGGCTGCTGATATAGGGTTCTGTGAGTTGAAATCACTGAACAATGTTCAGAATGGATTACAGTTCACATGTTTCTTGCCAGCTCGTCTCCACCTGATCTGTATACTGCGTATCCGGCAACGTTTTGCTCTACCATCGTACTATGCCATGCTGCGAAATGTCGTGTTTTTGGGACGACAGACATGGTCGTGAACCTGAACAAGCCATGCCGTTTGATACTGGAGTATAGGCAAAGGTGGACATACGGAGGCAAACCGCTCGGTCGATTGAACGACTGCGCCAACTGACCGGCAGTAGAGATTAGGAGGGTTCTTCACGTATATGCACTAAAGTGATCAGGTTTCGGTCGGACCACCATCGTACCACCAATATAGGTAGCCATTCACAGTAAAGCGGGATCCCGTCAGTTCGCTTGGTGGGACTATATTTAATGCAGCTAATTGTTTGGGAAGTAGCTGTGACAGCTACTGCTTATCCACGGACTTACACGCTATTAACATACTGAAGACAGGTTAGGGGCCCCACCCCGATCAACGGCTTCCCAAACTCAAGTCACCAACTAATTGCAGAATTTTAGTTGGCTAATCGCAGTTGGTTTACAAGCCACATAAGTAAGCTACCAATCTGGAAAGGCACCGGACGCTCGTTTCGGCCTTTTGGGACTCTTCAGTGGTGCGCATTCCTTCGGTCACCCGCTGGGGATGGAACCCATGACCAAAACTGACCCGGACGACTAACCACTGTCCTCTGCACGCGCAGTAACCTGCATGACGGAGGAAGATGGGTCGGACTATATCGCAGTTCGATTTCAATTTGTGATGGTCGGTTATGGTCTCCCAAGATTCCGTGGTATAAGCTGTTTGCTAGCGGCGCAAGCCACTAGCGATCATGGGTTCAGTTCCCAGTTGGGGACCGAAGGAATACGCACCACTGACGAGTCCCAATAAGACGAAACGATCGTATGGTGCTTCTCCTGACTGGTGGCTTACCTATGCGGCTGGTAATCTAATTTCGATGAGTCAAATACCTAAATCAGTCTACACATGGAGTGACTGTAGAATTCTCATTTCGCGCAAATTGCTGGTTATAACAGAGCAGCGTGGTGCTTTGGATGATATAGGTGAATGAAGTTCATTACAGTCTAACTGGATCATTTGCCCCACCTCCCTTACTCTGGATAGATGAAAATGTGCGCCACTGATGGCTTCCAAAAGGACAAAGCCGTCGTCCAATGCTTATTCAGGTGTTGACTGCTGACGGAGTCTAGTTACCATGAGTTCCCTCATGTTATTCCCCTACAAATCGTTGATGTTTACTCCGTACAAAGCACTTTGCAAAGGATGCAAAGCGTGGTCACCTGCGTCGCTCTGCTTTGCAGTGAACGAGTTGTCCCATACCGCGTGCTACGAAATCCATTTGGCTAGATGCTTGTTCCGGTTGTTCGTGATACAAATTTCCATTAACCGTGTGTGCTTCATTTGGACACATTTTGTTATCACTGGATGACTAGAAGGTATTACATTCGTCAAGTGTTCACAAGCTGCGCATGTTTTCTGGTGCCATACGTTTCACTCAGTCTCAGTTGTGATTTGGATACCGTTTCAACGAAACACGCACAAACGGGCTATATACGTGTTGATGGATTTTGCCCAGATTTAGACCAACCATGCATTTGCGGAAATTCACTGATTGCGAACCGGTTCACACAAACTAATGCAGGAGCTCGGTAATAAAAATCCGGGGCCAGGGGCTGGATAGCTCTTACAACCTCATACAAACAATTGAGTCTGAGACTGGCGAATAGCTATACTATTCGCGAGAAAGGGTAGCAGCTCGAACAGTATGGAAATTCTGAATGGGACTTGGCATTCGTATCGCGTTAAACCAAGAAACATGTGGAGGTGCCCAACATGTGAGCTAACTAATCAAGTGATGTTAGGGTAGAACAAATATAGTTGAAAATCTCGTTTTGGTTGACGTTGGCAGGAAATTGTCAAGCAAATGGAGCTACTCGTAAATTGTTAGTAGAAAGATATCTTCACGAATTTTGTATTCCCATAATCGTCCGGTCTTCGGCCTTATACCCTCTAGTCTACATTGGTTCGTAACTGTAGCGCAGCGCCAACCACAATTATCCCGGCCGTTACAAGCGTCTTCCGACTGGTCACAGTCACTGGTAGGCAAATTCGGAAACTGATCCGCCCCAGGAGCACTTACCTCTGGTTGGAGTTTGGTGCGCCCCTGTTTGCACCTTTGGGTCATGTTCTTTTTTGACTGACCTCTGTAAATCTTGATCCACAGTTTATGGTTCGTTGATGGTGCTCTTTGGAACAAGCCTGATTATCGAGCCCCAGCTGTCTTTATGACAGTGCACGATTTTCCAGCATTTTAAGTCCCTTCATATCAGTGATGTTGTAACACTAGTAAACCTCCACATTTTCAAACGTACTTTCTTGTTTCATCCTCCATTATGCATTGTAGTTGTTTTAATCATCTGAACTGATACATTCTTCGAATCTCGTTCTGCGTTGCCGCTTCGGCTCCCTGCGCGTGCGTTTGTCTTGATTTTTCGGCGTTGTTAGTCAGTGTTTGGTGACCGGAATCATTACTGACTCAGATTGCGTTTCTTGTCGAGGCATACGGCTAGTTTCGCACACTTCCAATTAACCGAACTTCGGATTAACTGTTTTCGTAGCTTAACGAGCTTTTCGTTATCCTTTTTATGTAGTCTTTTCCACTGCAATGTCAAGTAACTTGCAGTGATCCTAGCTAGTGCAATTAATTTCCAAGTAACCAGCCTAATTCTGCCGCCAGGTAAATAGTCGGGCTAGAATTTCCATCCCCTACTCGTGCCAATATCATTTGACGTTTCATCCACCCAACTCACGGCTAACCCTGGTGTTTTTTTGTTAGGCTACACAGTCCTTGACCATCTAACGCACATGCCTCATACAACATTGGAGCCTTTTATTCTCAACCATGATCTCCCTTGTAGCGCCCTTGAGTATTATCTCAATTGGCGAAAAAATCACGGCTCAGAACAGAATGCGTGTCACTATGGATTGTTTGGTAATCGCTGGATATCAACCCCAATGGACTTATCCACGAAATGACCTAGAGTAAGTTCTCTCATTGAGATTAGCTACTGATTGGTATCTTCACCCACTATTCCGAATAGATTTTGTTGTCTCACGTGCTTGCAGTCTTGTCCGTTTGAGGTGGTGGTCCATTTGGTTTTCTGGTCATCTGATCGAAATTCTTATTGCTTCATGATATCCTCCTTGTCTATTGCAGAAATATCCACGTTTTTGACAACGGCACGTTGCTAATCGAAAGCGTTCGGCTCAATCACGGTGGCAAATACACATGTTCTGTTGAGTCGGATTCAATCAACTACGAGTTGCTTGTTCAAGGTACAATGGAGGTTTATTACTGTACTTGTTACTGTACCTATATTACGTTGCGTGGGTAATATTTTATTGACTGCACACACTCATTCTCTTTGGCTTGAACAGCGTCCTTTCCTAGTTACCAAATCATGTGGTCGCCAAATGAGATTTACTGTTGCATACAGCAACAACCTAACTCGCTAAGCGTCGATGTAGAAGCTGTCGACAGTGATGTGTATGAGCGTTACAGGAGGCAGTCTGAAAATTTGTGAAGCATCACAAATAGATCATTGCTAACATTCGGATAATTTTCATACTTAGTATTGTCTGGAGTTTATGCTTCCTTTAACTGAGCTTTCGGGGACTTTAGCTTAGCGGTGGGTTGAACACACTCTAGGAGACATCCCATCATCCAGGAAATCCGTTGAAATAAAGCTCGCTATTCTGGTCACTCGAAATCGTGAAGAACAACTTATGCTTAGAGGGTATTGATAAGCAGCTCTAGACCCTGATGGTGGCGATGGTAGTGCCGACCATCTTTCCTGATCGCGTCTATGTCACACGTATGTTTGTTCACATAGCTTTGTCTTGCTTTAACTGCCATTTAGAGTCTGTTTCTGAGATTTGTGAGCCGATGCTATAAGTCAATCTGAAGTCTCATAATCCCGGTGTATTTCACACCTCACCGGGGTATGAGACCATATTCGGACACACTTCCTCTTACCACATACAAACAGAAGGCTTATCTGCAACTTGGAGTAAGTGACCTCAGCCTACCAAGGTACTGGCATTTTCAATCCCATCCCTGAAGGGAATGTGTTTCTCACTATTTGGATTGCCTACTGTATACACACTGACTTCGGAACTGACATTTTCCTTCCTACACGCAAGCGGATTGAAGAGAGTAGTTTGTTGTAGACTGTATCTCCAATTTCTGATGTCTGGAAGTTGTAGAAAGCGGGATCTTTTTTTCATAATTATCCAGTGACCCGTCTCACACTTAAATGCCTTGGCTAATTGCACCCTCCCCTTCCTCTCCATTCTTATTACAGAAATCTCCGAAGGTAGGTTTTCAGAAGGTTTTGAATACAAATAGGTTTTTCTAGGTTTTTATTATGACAACATTTCGCTCTTGACGCAATAACTTCTTCAGGCCAGATGAATCGGTACACAATTGGTTTAGCTTTTTATGCGAAAGTAGGGTGAGAATTGCAAGAAATAACTCGAATCATTGAATAGTAGTCACTGAAAATCCATCTTGATAAGAGTTTAGAAAATTAGTGGACGGTGTTAAATGCAATCACCGTGCATCAAATATGAGAGCGTTTTAGCTACTGAACTTTATTTGATATAGCATTTTGGCTTCGTTGAACGTGTGGCGAGAGCGGTTAGGCTACTCCGACGATTATCTGTGGACTTTGCTGAAGCTAGACCTCATCAATTGGTGTCAAACATCCAACCTAGCTCCACATCACCCTTTACATTTTCCTGGTCTCTATACCTTGCGAATACTCTCTAGCTACAACTCCTCCCAGTGAGTTTGGGATTGAGGTCCCTAATCCGTGATGCTCGCGGGAAACCGACGTCAAGAAGTACTGGGATGTTGGAATACAGCGTAGTCCTCTCCATTGACGTGCACGTTTACAGCACAAGTGTGGGGTTTACAGACAAATGCTCACGTATCGAATCTTTAAGATAAGGGAATCGCTTTTGTTCTACTCTGGGGGGACGACACAAGTACAAGCTCCTGGTCAGCGTTTTTATTTTGCTTTACTAGAATGCTTGCAGTCCCATGCCTATATTCCTATTCAGAAAAATTTGTCACCAACTTCTATATACCGTCATTTCACCACACACTCTTCCTTCCCAGACCCTCCTCGCAAACCGATTTGGCACAAATTTACCCCCAGCCTTCGTGGTATCCAAGCTGAATGGCTTTCACCGGGCTCCAAGCGGTTGGATGCTCCAATTCTTTGGTTCTACCTTAACTGGACCAATCTGTACACGGGAAGCCAACAAACGGTTCAACTGCCTGCCAATCAACGTACCTACTACTTATCCAATCTAACCTGTGCCACCACGGTTCGATTTCAGTTACGGGCTGCGAACAAGGTTGGAAACAGCTCACTGACGGATGTCACGTCGTGGACAACCTTGGGATCGGGTAAGTTATCGTCACACTTTTATCACAATCATGTATCGCTGAAACAGGAGCCGGCAATGGCACTAACGTTATCAACCAAGTAGGCATTCCACGAGTAGTCACTGTCGATAATCTGATCCGGTCACACTCTGGGAACAGATTTATTCGTCGATGCCGGAGTTCCGAGTTGTACACACAGAAGACTTACCAGAGCTACGGTAGGTCTGCCGGTTGTGGCGTAGCGTTTCTTGCACGGTTATACCCGCCCAGCCATGTTCCGCCGTCACCCGAATGTTAGCAGTGAATAGTCTACTATCAAAAACACATTGTCCATGCAGATGCTGGGGTAATTGATGAGTGCTTTTAGCATCTATCTTGAACTAAAAGTATCTTATCGATTGCCAATTTACGGAAGTGTATGTGCCATCGAACCACCATTCACTGCGTGCCGAAAAACGTGGGCCACCGGATGGCACAAAGGTACAATGCAGCGGTACGTTTGACCCTACTGTACGGTTGTGAAACCTGGCCCATTAGAGCAGCGGACATAAGGTGGCTAGTTACGTTCGACCACCGGTGCCTTCGCAATTCGGCTCACATCTGGTGGGAACACCGCGTGAGCAACGAGCGTGTTCGACGCCTTGTTTACGGCACAAGCAAAGGAAATGAACCGCTCAGCACCGTTATTTCACGCACCAGGCTCTGATGGCTTGGCCACGTGTTACGCATACCAGCCCACCGACTCCCGCGACGTGCATTGTTTGCTTGCCGGGGGTGTGGATGGAAGAAGAGGAGGGGTGGCCAAGCGATGACTTGGTCGAGAGGAATGAAGGCCCTCACTTCGGAGCTGGCCTCGGTTGGAGCGTTTCGGCTCCGTGGTTGGGATCCGAAAGACGATGAACACGTTTGGCTGGATACACTTGTTGATATGGCTAGGAGCTGATCTCATTGGTGTTCGTGCTGTGAGTTTCTTTGTCTCACCCCGTCCCTCTTAGCCTCCGTCTCCAACCACGATCTCACTGTTTAGCCTTATATGATTTTGCATAGTAATTTTTTGATGCACAGTAGCCGGCTGATAGCTTATCCGAACGATGCCCATCCGTGGCTGGTTGCTCAGCTGGCTTGCACCAGTTGCATTTTTTTCTCCTTTTTCTGTGTATTGCGGCACAGTAGCTGAGGTGTTTCCCACCTCTAGCTAACGTGTATAATGATGATGATTATGATGGATGGCACAAACCAGACTGAATGCAGGGTGTCTACTGTAGTAGGGCTTCTGATTGGATGCACTTCTTGACACACCAAATCACGCCGTTATCTATGGATGTGGCAGGAATCGCATTAGGTAATCGTAGAACTGTCGGCACTTTGCTGCACAACTGCACCCTCTCATGGCCTTGTAATTTATTGCAACTTTAGTTTGAATATGCTCCAATTGGTTTCGTAACTTACGTTTTGTCACGTTAGTAATGTAAGACAGCCGGACAACCGTCCACTTCTTCTTTTGCCGGCGTGCTTCTCATGTAGTTACCTTGAAGCCTCCCAATGAGCTTAATTTGTCACCTTGAACCCGGTCCTGTCAAGGCGCTCATACTTCTTAAATAAATCTTCCTTTTCTCTCTTCTAGCCCCACAGGCTGCAAACGCCGCTCAATTGGTCCCTAGTGAATTACGTCATCAGACTTCGGTCACGTTTAATTTATCCAGTTTCCTTCCTGGTGCTGGTTGTCAACCGTTGGAATATCGTTTGCTAATTGCTCCGGCGGAAGACGGCCACTTCGGCCTGAAGCAGGCAGTGATTAACCAGACTTTGACCAGAGCTGATCTGATAACTTTGGAGGGGGCTCATCGAGAACGGTAAATGACTAATGAGTACTTTTGTCGCAATAAATGACTAGTTCAATCGATGCTGTGACTTAAGCACTCGTTCTTCTGATCATTCTTAGCACAACAAAGATAGCAACTCCGTTTTTCGTTACTGCTGCACTTCAAGTCCTCACTAGTCGCAGAAGCGAACCGTCACCAGGCGTTTTATTCGTAACCTCTGAATTTGGAAGCCCACCTTGTCAGGAGTTCGTTCCATTCAGCTTTGACACGCTGTTTGGCAGCTGAGTGGCGAGCTCACATTTTCTGATGTCATATAAACTAAGCCTACGTTTGTACATGAATAGTGGTATTATGTTACTTCATTTGTTACTCATTTCTTTGCTAAATGTTGCACTCGACGACCCCAGTGCTGATCGTTTTGGGTTTGACCGCGTTGAGCGAGCCGCAGAACCAATTTCCAGTGGGTCATCTAGCCAACGCGGAGTTAATTACCATTTGCTATAATGCCATTAGCTGTTATCACTATCATTAATCCATAATTTGGAGCCGATGGGATTCAATTAGCCTTGGATCCATAAAAGGGACAGTCCTCTATCTTATCCTGAGACGCTTTGCTTAACATCTGGCTTCGACACATTGTCTAACCTACTATATTCCACACCTGCCTTAAAGGATCTCCGCATACCCCAACGCTACGATTTGAAGTCCGTAGACAGCACGAACAAGCTATATGGAAACGGACTGTGCATGCTTTGGGTGCGCAAACGGAGCTTCTGCATTTGATCTGAATGACCTGCCACACATATGTTCTTTTCTATCATAAGACGAATGCTGGAGTACGGATCGCCCGCATATTGTCCAACCCCATGTGGCAAGAAGCAAAAACTGGAACGTGTTCAGCATGTAGCTACCAGGCTCATTCCCAATTTAAGGGGTATATCGTAGGAAGACCGATGTAGGAGACTAGGGCTATATACTCTGTCACCGCATATTGCACCTGGGCCACTTCCCTATGTTGAGGACGATGCTGCACCTTCGCCGCAACAAGTAGCACACGCGAACACCGGCACAAACTAGTGGTACCGGATTCGAAGCGTATCGCACACCTTCTATGCTTCGAGCATCGAGTGGTGGAATCCTGAAACAGTTTGCCTAAGAAAATAGTTGAGGTGAAATCGGTGTCGGAGTTCAAGAGATTACTAGACGTCCACCTTGCGAATTTCAGATTCAGGGAGCACATCGCACCCCAATAGCACATGGCGCGGCTGTAACGTCCAGTAAACGCGCAAGAATCCGTGACGTGATTCCGTTCACGTGCCCGAACTAACTACGATGAAGCAACCCAGAGGTATGTTTACTAGCTCTCTGCATTAAGTATACTGTATTCACTAAGGGGTGAACGGTGCACTTGAATCCCACAACTCCCCTAAGTTCAAAACGTCTATGGACACTGAGACGAAACATGTAATTTACCCAATCGATCACTTGCGTATCAACAATTTACTTATGTTCACGCGTTTTCTTCTTGTTCTCTTTGATATAATTAACTTTTCGGAATTGGCATATTCTAATCTTTAGGATGTATTTTCTGGATGTATTTTTCTGGAATATTGTCGCTCCTTTCCTGTACTACGAGCATCACCAGATAACCGGTCGGCATCAGACGGAATCCGTCAAACGGCGACACATACGATATGATGCCTGCCATCATGACGCTGCTGTATCTGCTTAGATATCCTACAAAAACAGGCGGATGATTTTTCGCTGTTTTAATTCTCCTTATCACAAGGTAAAAGTAAGAAACTCTTTTCTGGATCAAATCAACGTCCTTCCTGCAGTGGCTTCATCTGTACGGACTGCCCCGTGGGTCTAGCTGTAAGCACAAGTTGGCTCTCCGAGTCACCGTATACTTTCCAGCCTTCCAGTACGAGAATAAGCGTCCGTCCTTGCAGATGAATGTGACTGCCAAGTTCAGACATCTGTAAGGTTAGGTGATTCTCTCCTTCCCGGTTAATTCGACCCGCTTTCGACTTGATCGAAGCTTCTCACTGCGGCTATTAATAAGCCATCTCTTTGAAGGTAACATTACTGACGAGCAGCTACATTTCGTGAGCTCGTAGTCCCGTGAAATGTACTACTGATTGTGCCCTTGCCAATATATATATATATATATATATATATATATATATATATATATATATATATATATATATATAGGGGTGGGGGCATCCGGTTTCGGATTTGCCTGTCACTGTGGCCAGCCATAGGACGTCTGCGCCCACAGACGGACCATGGGTGGCTTGCGCTGCACCACCCACAGCTCCATCCACACACCTCATATCCAGTGTAAACCCGAAGAAATAAGACCAGGAGGCATGTGGATGGGAGCCACGTTTCATCAACGGAGCCGGCCCACACTCCTTCACAGGCAAACACAAGCACCCAGTATTTGGGTAATCAAGCGCGCACAAGGCGGTGGCTGGACCGTAGTCCACTCCACACTGAGTGTATGGAACCACTCTTCGAGCCTAACACGGCCACAAGGACCGTGCACCCCGTCCCCTCCAGCAACGACCAGCTGTCTCCTGTAGGCAGTATGGACGAGGTAGTGGGTAACAGACAGGTAGGCACGTTGTCAACATGCACATCAAGCGCAGCCACACCGGGGATATCAAGCAACAGCCCATCACTTGAGACAAGATAATATAGGATAAGGCATATAGATACGGCAGCATAACTGTTCACTAGATGAGCGTATAAAATAAATTGATTACAAACGAATCCGCGATAAGTTAAAGATGTCAGAAAATATATATTATAGAAAATGCCACAACCGTGAAAATGTTGTCGAAATTAACCGTAATTAGCTTCAGCGACATATGCAGGTTTATAGAAAATGGTACAGGTAGACATTAATGTGAGGTAAAAAAGCAATATGACAATCTAGCAAACCCATCACTTGAAATAAATAGACTCAGCATGCAAGCACGCGGTTAGTAAATCGAATGCAGCGTACCTACAATCACTGCGCCGGTTCTGCCTACCTTCTCTGCAGGACTCGTCTTCGTATCCGTGTTGGCCCCGAGTGGCCTCTCTCATGGCTCATTAGGCCTGTCTGACTCAGCCACTCGCGACCGCATGTGCTACAGCACCATGCGCTCGATGTCGATGGAGTACAACCCATCGGTGCTTGCCGCTTCCGCACTTGCCGCTTCTTCTCTGCATGCATGACGGCTTTCTCCTGCACCTCGGTAACTGTCTTCGTGATCAGATCGCGCCATGCACACCGATCAACCGCCTTCGATTCCCATGACCTGCAATCAAAATTAAAACGTGAAAGGCTCATTTTGATCATGTCCTGGTAACGTAAATTTGGTTTCCCCACGTGCCGCTTCCCAATACTCAGCTGACCATATAAGAGTTGCTTCGGTATCCGCGTTGAATCCATGAGCCACACATGGTCGAGCCACCTCAGGTGTCTCAGCAATAGTATGCAGTCCACTGCGTACATTCCACTTTGTCGCAACACTTCCGTGTCAGCAACTCTGTCACCCTAACCGATGCGTAAAATCCGTCGCAAGCACTGCTGATGGAACCGCTCGAGATATCGCAAATCCCGACGACACATCGTCCACGTTTCACTGCCGTATAGAAGAACGGACAGCACCATGGATTTGTACACCATCATTTTCGTGCCAATGGTAAGCTGATGGTTGTTCCACACTCGGTACTCTAGCTTCTAGAATGCTGCCGCTGCCTTCGAGACGCGGATACGCAGCTCGCTGTGTAGCTGCTGGTCGGTCGACATCACACTCCCAAAGTAGCGGAAGTAGGTGGTGGTTTCCAATACTTCAGCACTAATGCTGATTCGCGGTAATATTGAAGATTGCACCTCTGGTGAAAGCTGAAGGAGACAAACAGTTTTGCTTGTGTTGATGGTGAACTCGAATTTGGCCGCTGTCGAAGCCAGAGCACTAGTCATGTGTTGCAACTCATCCGCACTGTGTGCAAACAACGCACAGTCGTCAGCAACCAGCAACATACAGATAGTTGTCTCCCAAACTAGGGTTCTCGCACCGAAACGACAGATGTTCAGCAACCCACCAGCAATACGGTGCTCCACACGAACACCGTAAGTGCAAGCGACATCAAAAGCACAGGACAACATTGCATGAAGATGTATATTAAACAGGGCAGGAGTTAAGACACAGCCTTGCTTCACACCAGAGACAAGTGCAAAGGCATCTGAGTTCTCTCCATTTGGCTGCACCCTCGCTCTCAAAACACTGTGCAGACATTCAATTAAACTTACAAACTTACACAGGCAATCGAACTTGCCCAACAACAGTCACAATGCCTCGCGGTTCACCGTATCAGATGCCTTGGTGATATCAACAAACAGCGAGTATAACGGCCGGTGTCGTTCTCCACACTTCTCCTGCAACTGACGGGCCGCAAACACCGTATCTATAATGCTGCGACCCGAACCGAATCCACATTGCTCTTCTGCCACGTTCGGTTCCACAACCTGACTGACGAGGCGGTTGAGCAGGATTCGGTCAAGTTGATACCACGACAATTCGTGGCCCATTGCTTGCTTCCTTTACTCTTGTACAGTGGTATCACAAGGACATCCTTTAGCTCTGGATGCACCTTCTTAATCTATACGCGTTGCATCAAGTGGTGCAGCGCAGTGACCACCGACAGTCCGCCGCGTTTCAATACTTCAGGCGGGATCCCGTCGGCTCCGGCACACTTGTCGTTTCGCAGCTGAGCAAGTGCTCTCTGCGTCTCGTCCACTGTCGACGTGTTCGTCAGACTCACCACATCGTGCTGCTTCAGGCAGTTTAAAGTAGGACAGTCGATCTCTGAACGGTTGTTCAAAAGACAGTCGAAGTGTTTCCGCCAGATCTGTATTATGTCTGCAGTCCTTGTGCAGGTAGCGGCTGAACTACCATCGATCAGCGTCCTCAACGGCTGCAACCTCGGTCCGTACGCCACCTTCAGAGAGTCAAAGAATTTCTTGTCTTGGCGGCGTTCGGCCTAACTTTCCATCTACTTCGTCTACTTCGTCCAGCATGCATTTTTAATGCGACGGAGCTCTCGGGTTAGTCGCCGTCGAAGTTTGCGAAACTGACTCTTCTTCCCCAAGTCACTGGGGTCTGCCACATGTGCAGCAAATGCTGCATTTTTTTCAGATACCAATGCGCCAATCATCGCGTCGTTGTCATCGAACTAATCGGGCCTCTTACAGTTTGCGCGCCCGACGGTCTCCTCGGCAGCAGCTGTCACCTGGTCGCGAATGTGGTGCCACAGGTCGCGTACCGTTGCTATGCATTCAAAATCACACAGTCGTGCAGCCATCGCCTTCTCCAGCTAACTACGTTTCTCCACAGTGCCGAAGGAGTGAAGGTTACATTTATGCCGGTTCATGGCGGGGGTACAAAACATAGATTTGCAGAAATGTATGCGCAGCTTGGTTCGCACCAATTTATGATCAATGCCCTACTCAGCTCCACGCAGTACACGTGTCATGCGCACTTCACGCATATCACGCTGACGTACGATGACATAGTCGAGCAGGTGAGCGTGACCACTCCGTGGGTGCGTCCAATTTGCAGCATCACTCGCACTCAGTGTTATATATATATATATATAGATATATATATATATATGTATATATATATATATATATATATATATATATATATATGTATAATGTGCATAAATCCTGTACGACAATGGACACGAGAACTTTCAAAACAGCTTGTTCGATCGCGTATCTATTTTCCTTTCGTCCAACTCCGATTGCCTCTTGTTTTCGGCACAGCATTTTTTCCTTCCTGTTGTGGACCACCACTTTGAGGGGTATCTCCAGACTGCTTAACCTATGTGTTATCCGGCAGTTTTAGTTGGTGTTAAATCTTAGACTCGAATCCCTCTCCCGTGTGAAAATCTCTTGTCCGTATATATATATATATATATATATATATATATATATGTATGACTTGCGGTTTTGTGAGTTGTCGAGTTTAACTATGCTTGTTAGCGTGTCCACCCAGCAAAAGCACTTGGCTCTGACGAAGTTATACCGATTCGTCGGCCAGAAAGCGTAAGCTGCCTGCTTTGTAATCCAGATGTTGTCGGTTCGAGTCCGCATTGGTGCAGTCGGCCTCGAGATATGCACAGCCTATGCGCGACTGGTGGCGGTTACGTGTCAGCGCGGTGTCGGTATGTTGTTCCGGTGTACTGCTGGCGACTCCTTTTCTGTAATGCTAATTCATTTAACGGGGTCATGTGTTTGTTACTATGTACATCTTGGTATTACTCGCTTTTTCACTGGAACCGGAGCGCCACCTACACATGTTTCACTTCAACTTCGGACAATTATTCAAAATCGGAGGAGGCACTGTGAATTCACAGACTCATTTCTAATTTTAGACTCACCGTATTCTGCTCTGAGCACGCCATTATCTCGGATCTCGCAGTATGGAATTCCATTTACGTTGCCGCAAATCTCCCCGACAAGTGCTTGGGCGCTGTTCTGATCATAAATGATTAAGCAATGGAATATAATGCGGACTACGCAAGCACACACATTGGATTACTAATCCCCTCAGCGTTGTCTTGGACCTCGTGTATAGTTATCTTTTGTGAGGAATTTCCGAACGCCGTTTCTCACTGTTTCCCACGCGTAACCTCCATTCTTTACTATCTTCCGCTTGCGTACGACAGGTGCTGTTACAACGTGACTCAGTTGAACGCCGGCGCCCACTACCACTATAAAGTGGTAGCCACGAATGCTGCTGGTTCAGCCAGCGTTCAGGGACAATTCTGGACTCTGACTGTGTTCGGACGTGAGTTGCAATCCGATTGCTAATTCTGGTTTATTTTTCATCTCACGCAATTATCTTGATACGTTTTCAACTTCCAATCGCATCTTGCCATAGCCGGCTATACACAATGAACATGCCGACGGCCGTTACGAGTTGGACGGCGGTCTTTTGATACTGGGGCAGAAATTGACACTGCATCCCGGAAAGTATTTGACCGTTTGTCTCTTCACATCTTTTACGCGATTCAGAGCGGTTAGCTCGTTGCTACTGTCCTTGGTTTCCTATTTAATTTTCTCCTTCATCAGCATTTGAGCATGAAGGCTTGTAGCTCTGTCGGACCTGATGGAAATCAAGTACTGTGCTCCACAAGACTCAGTACTTAACTTACACCTATGCCTGTATTTTCCAGGCTGTCTTGTGTAGGTGATCCACCACATATCACTACTCTTCGCAGATAACTTCAGGGGTTGTGGATCATTACAGTCGCAGTCGATCACACAGCATTGCTATGCGATCTTGATAGGGCTTACTTGTGATCACCACAGCACTTGTTACAGGGTAACGACCAATTACAGTGCTAGACACATGCTATCAACGCATTTATGAGTAACGACTCCGGATGCGGATTTTGCAATTTGCATCCAAAGGAAACGATTCCTGATCCCCATATTAGCTACTGTTTACTGTCCGAAGTAGACACAAAATGTTTGCTAATACAGTGTCAACTTTCAAAGAGCGTTCAGACAATTTGGCCCGTTAACATTTCCTCAAATGCTAGGTACAAGCATGCGGGTCCACATTGAATACGCTATCCCGATTCCGCAAGCTTGGCAGACTTACGGTTTTGTCCTGCTTACATTTTCTCCACGGTGTGCAATCATAAATATACTACGTTTGTCTCACCTCCCAAATGAAAGGTATCTACGGTTGTGTGTTGGCCTTACTCGAGCATAGCAATATCTGATGGTCCGGACTCTTACTTCGCACTGCCTGATGAAGCCTAGTCATAATAATAGTCTGAGAAGCCACCGTCTGAATTTGGTGGACCGATATGACTATCTTGTTTTGTTCTAAATACCCTAGTCGCTCCAACTTTCTTAGTCAGAGCGGATGAAACGCTTTTCATCGATGGTACCCCGCGCGCAGAGCACCGGATTGAATTCACATCAACATGACCTAATACACCTAACCACTAGACGTGTGTGCACACGAGCCGATATTGCAGACGAAATACATTGCCCAGCACGACTGCAATTGAAATGCAGAGAAGGATGAGTTCGTTTACCGCTGCAATCAAAAGCTCACGCGCCTTCTATCCCTCCGTATTTAAAACTCAGTAGTATAGCAGTGATGCCAAAACTGTAGAAAAGGGTGCGGCACATCGTTTGCCACGTAGTGGCAGTGTCCTGAAGGTAAATCAACTGAAGTCCGTGCGGCTTGAAACGGTAGATACGCCAGGGTCACCGGAGAGTGCTTAGGTAAAGTCTGGGCGGTTTGCATTGACGCTCAACGCTAGTGTCCATGAGGAGAGTTCAACTGAGACCGGATGGCGACAGGGTAGCTTAACCTGCTATGGAGGCGGGCTCAGGTAAGCTCTACGCAAGGTTGACCGAATCATGCGAGCTCCGCGGCATTCTTTTCGCTGTAACTTTCTCTCACTTCGTGTATACCAACCATGGATTGCTGTTACAGTAACCCTAGCGTCTCTTCAACGCAGGCTATACTCACGGCGTGATTTATTGCGCAACTCACTCAGAAGCGTTAGCCTGGGTATACTGCATGATGAAGTATATTAACATGGACGTTTATCTAATATCCAATTTTATTCATCAAACTTTTCGCTTACTATGCCTGATTCAGAAATTGCAACCAGTGGGACTTGTACCTTGTTCGCTCCTTCGCACAGAATGAACTCCATTATAGGATGCACTCAGCAAAGTACGAGTGCCTGCATCTGGTCATTAAGAGTCATTGAATGAGACGACTGTAAGTTGTCTACTAATGCAATACAGAGGACCATTCGGTGTGTCTTCACGCTTCTCCAACGTTGATTTTATCCACTTTCAACATTAGAAATTCTGTGTGGCTCCCTTTCTTTGTTGGGCATCGTTTGGCGGATGCTCCATGCGAGTTTTGTTTCATGTGGGCTAGATAACCGACTTGAGTGACGGGAGCAATCTGATTCGGTGCACATCGAAAGCCTTGGGCTTTTTCTCACCTTGTGCTACTGAGTGCATTGTGCATCCATTGCGTCGCACAGCGTTACTCTGTGTACCTGCAATAGATGGTTTTTCTGCCGGTTTGCCCTTGTCCGAGCGACTTCTGCTAGGTCCTGACAGTTCACATATAAGCAGGAGTCATTGTCCGAAGTGGTAAGCGCCAGACCATTCGCACTGTTGTGTCGGAGGCCCCGCAACTGCTTCCACCAACTAACGGTAGTGAGAACACGAACGACCAGAGACAAGGATTCAGGGGTTCTTTTACGTAGGGAAACCGCCTCCTTATATAGCATAACGCACAAACGTGAAAGCCAATCGGAGTACAGAAAGCCTGCGGAGAAGTAAAGCCGATACAAACTGAACAAATGAGGAACCAATCAGGTGCACACAAAGAACAAAGTGAGAGGGATAGCATCAGCATGTGGCTTCGATCTGAAGGCAAAAACAACAACTCTAAATAGCCAATAGGGATAGCGAATCACCATAGCACAACGAAAGTCTGCAGTCGTGAACGGCTACACATGCATACCTGTATTTTTAGTGCTCCTCCAACACTCACCGTCACTTTATTCATTTCACTGGATCCCCTTGAAAGTGGCCAGTAATTTTTCCAAACGACAGTCTGAGTAGGGCATTCCGCGATTGGGACAGTGGTTCGCCTTGAAATAGACTTCAATCACCCAGGCCGTAACAACATTTTCGGCGTTGTTTGCTCTCGGATTTATAGCGTGACGTCTAGGAGCTCATCTGGCAATCAAGCTGCTTCGAATGCAGCTCTCAGACTTGCAAGATTTACCTGCAGAGTCCTAGCATGGATAAACTCAGTTCTCTAAGAAGAACGCGACACTGAAGCTCTCCTCCTTGTTTAGCCGCTACTTACTGCTGTCATCTTCATGTGAATGGCACCGGTATTATGTTCACATCTTGTCTCCTTACACCAACACGGCATGAACGCCATCTAACCGGTTCGGTCTTTCGCATTGCAGTCATGACTACAGAACAGTATATAGATATGAATGTAACAAGTCCAGGGTTGTGTGGTGATACCGTCATTTCGTGCATATATGCAACCAAAACAGGGTTTCAAAAACAAGAGCACATAAGAGCCGTCGGTGGCCGATTGGTGCGTTACGAGCTAGCATAATAGCTTCAGCGCTAGTCATTACTTTTGCACAACAGTGGTCCCATGGAGCTTCAGAACATAAGGCTTTGTATTACATGAGGATTCTGAATGATGCATTGTGTTTGCCCTGGTGGCCGGTTTTCAGTGATTACCTAGTAACTTCTAAGATATTTCTGTTTCTCATTTCACCTGGGCATCTACGGTGAACACGAAAACAGGACACCTGAGCAATCACTCTTACGACGTATGTTTCCCCCATTGTGAATGCCACATCGTCCACTCGACTTTTCACATATTCACTAACCTCAACACGCCAACACCTTTTAACTGTGTGTATCAGGTGGCTGCCGTCTAACGTTACGTGATTCTATCTCGCAAGCTTGACAGGGGATTTGAAACATTTGGGTAGCATCTACTCCGATTGAATGAGGATGCATATTTCTGGTGTCAGAATGTTGCGAAACACTGCATTGCCAGCAGTCATAGTAGCATACCCTAGTGTATGTCGCAGACAGTGTCCCTGCGGTGGCTAACCTGGAGATAACCCGATCGACTGGCCTGAGTCGTATAGTTCTCGCGTAATGCACGCTATCGCCACCGAATTTTGACCAGGTTCTTACAGCCCGATTGATCGAAACTCGTGAGCGTGATGCCTCTGTGAACATCTGATAGATGTATACTTCGATTCACACGGACGCCTTTGTAGTTATTGCCGGTGGGCGCGTAAACGTAGTAGCACCGACAGGAGACACAGTCCTTTCTTAGTTTCGAATCAAAATTCTATCAATGTGGTACACTTTACTACTGGGCTAGTGGGCTTTGTGCGGAAAAAAGTCAGTTAAGCCAGCATCACTCAGACACCTAATTCTACCTTTGTCTCATCATCTCTTGTTATGTGGATATATCCGACCGATGAAGGTTTCATACACCGACGAAACTATGGGACTATTTATAGGTCAGCTGGTTGCAACCATTTCTTAGAAAGTACTTGACATGTTTGCCATCAAAACACCGGGCCCCACCTCACTTTGATTAAGTAGCGACCACCAGCTTGTCATGGCTGTTGTCACAGAACTCGATCCTTCTGGGACAAACGGTCTATTTGACAAACCAATAGTAGAACCGACAGCATCATTTGCCCGTAGAATCCTTCATGTATATAACTAGGTCGCTTCCACAACTAATGACTCTTCTGCATTCACGAGATTCTTCCTTCGTTTCAGTTAGACAAACTCACTCCGGCTTCGCCAAATACTGACCAATCAGCGCAGCGATGAAGATGTGTAAGCGTCCAGTCATCTGCTCGGTTCGCTTGTGGCAATCTCGCCGTTTGCCTCGTCACGCGAACCTCTCACCCCTCTGATTTCATCATCTCATCACATCCTTCCCTTTTTCATGTTAAGCCATATCGGTGTCGCTGAAAACTTCGTACACTCCAACGCTCCGTGTGGTCTTCGCTGCCCTTATAGTTGTAACCTCCTCGTGTGCCTTGCTTCAGGTTCACCTTCTAGTTCCCGGTGACGCCTCAGCTTCACTCGGTTCCCTTTAATTATCTTCCCACCAATATTGACTTCATAAGATCTTTCTTCGACCTTCGCGATCACTACAACTTTATTCTATCGCTCACTGACGCCCAGTATTGGTTGAATCCACACTTCCTCGTTTACTGGTAGCTCATAATTCCCTTTCCGATCTGTCATGCCGTCACGGCTGTCTTAGGTACAAATTATGTTTTCTGCATTTATTTCACCTGCACTTTGTTTCCATTGGTCATGTAATCCACCAACACATGCTGTCCATTACCTCCCTCTAGGTGAACCGGTGCTTCGTCAGACTCATATTCTGGGCCAACCTGAACTGTTCCAACAGCCAACCGTCATTGTGCCCATCGCAGCTTTGTTCGCCATCATCCTGGTCGTGTTGATTGCACTGCCATTCTTTTGTCGGCATCGTCGACTGGAAGAAAGTCTTCGCACCGGCAAAGAGGTGACACAGTGCCGCAATGACCTGCGTTCAGGCACGGATGGAGTTGATCAGTACCAGCAACATGAGCAGCATCAGCGTCTATTGAACCTCCCGTATCATCCATACAGGACGACAGATCGATCCGGCCGATCAACTCTACCGCCGGTGCCTGGACAGCCACTAAATTCGCAAGCCAGTACGATCATTGTGCCTAGTAGGAGCAACCAGAAAAAGAGTGGAGGAGTTGCTGGGTGGGTTGCTTATGCCTTATCACATCTCTTCAGTATCGTGCCTCTTGTGTTTCCCAGTTACAGTGTGGCGCTTCACGACTGGTTTCGTTCAGGTTTACTTAGATTCCAACTAGTGACCTTGACTACCGAACCAGTCTGATCGCATGAGCGACGATTGGAATGCATCGCTTTCCATTTTGCGTCCTGCGGATAAGCACAGACTCCCATCACAAAGGTTGTTTGGTACTCGTCGGTCACGTGAAATGTCACTTTACCGGATCTACCACATTAGTAGATCGGTGTGTCCGGTAGTATGTGCATGATTATGCACATACTGTTGTTGGATACTTCAACGATGTGCCCTCTATTTTCCATGTTATGGGTTGGTCGGGCAAAGTAAAGCTATTCCTTTTGGTTCAACTATCAGACTGTTCCGCGCATCAACTTCCACTATACACTACACAGTTGTACTCTTCCGCGAGGTTACCGGTCTTTCAACTCCTCATGGCTTTTCTTATTCGAACAGCCGGATGGAGTTATTCGCTTCCCTTATCTAGCACCTGTATTGGCGAAACCGGGTAGATTTCAACCAAGCTTCAGCGACTAGCATACCCCTCTACACCACCGAATGTCCCAGACTAAGTGTCTCACTTAGGTTTCATGATTATGCACTGGAAAAGCGTGATGCAATTATTCTCATCCACAGCTTGATGCGCCGCATCTCAGATTCTTAGGTGAGTTGGATCAGCTGCAGCGACAAACATTCATTCACGACGCATCACGTAGTACATTCAAGACGATGACGCTTATGGAAGCCTAGCACATAGTGCTCATAGACTGTGTAGTTCATGATGGACCAGCTACATGCTAGGCACGTTTCATCCGGTCTAGTTTCCTTTGTATATAACTACAAGAGTAACACAAATCCTCTGCCAAAGAAAGAATATGGTAGAAGCAAAAACTGGGATCCTTTTGGACTGTCATCGGCTTACAAAGAGCAATTTACTATGAACCAATCAACGAATCCAGTGTGACCGCGTTTGTACGATTCTTTGGGCTCACGTCAAATAGAAGATACGCTGGTTCGACTTCGTCTTGCGCTTATTGCTTTGGTGTGTCCCATAACCCTGACGTAGCTGGACTTTATCCGTCTTATTTTCCAGTCATTTTGACAATGTTTTAGAAAAAGAACCCATCCTAACACTTTCTCAAATTCCGGTCTCAATCACTGCTTTGATGACCTGCTGCGGCCCACCATTTTAGGTTCTACGAATGTAAAATGTGGTTTTGTCAAGTATCTCTTAACATACTCTGCTATACATTGAGTCATCTATGGGACAACTTTGCTTAAGGAATCCAGAACTTACCCTTGTTTTACGGCAGCCTACTTGTTGTTACATAGTGGCTAGTTTTCGTTTTTGGATGTCCTCTAAACGTCCTGGATGTCTTGGCCTCAATTAGCTGTTTTCCTTAATTTCTCATATCATTTTTTGCACTTCGACTACCGGCCACCTCATTTACCATAACCATGTGACAGTGTAACGTTTATGCCTGCACAAGTATGCTGTTCAAAATGCAATTGACGAATTTCCCTAAGGTATTTCACCACATGCCGTTCCCACTGCGTTTCTTCACGGTGGTAATGACCGCGAAGAATGACTCACGGGTTTTGAGCATTGCGAGTGTTCTTTTGATGCCATCATATCCAACGGTCCTCGCTTCGCTTTCTTCTGCAATAGATGGTTTGCAGGCACGCGTGCTCGTTTGTACGATCGAGGCCGGACCGCTTCTAGACCAGAACCTCCGGCCCAATCGCATACAAGAGTCGAGGAGGACCGTTTGTCGACAAATTCCATCGACAGTGAGGGTGAGTTGTCAATGGAATGCTTCTTCCTAACGGGATTTCCACAGACCTTTTTGATCCGCTTGTCTTAACGGAAATCGTATGCAGGTTTTGATCACCTCACATGTCTATTGTCAAACACTTGTAGTTCTCTTCTTCCCCTTAGCCTGCTGGAAGGTGGCTGTTCCAGTGCGCTTTTCTCCACCTTAGTGGCATGACGAGATCCAAAAGGCATATACAGCCTGCAGCATCATGTCCGTACACTTCACATTTGTCAGTCGCTAGGTGTAGTTGGCAATGGACACGTTCAAATGAGCCCAGGCACTTAACGGACGGATTAAGCCATGAGCGTCTGTAACGGACGGCCTATAGTTTTTCAGCAGATGACATTGATTTAGTCCAGCTTAATGTTCCGGTCTTTGTTTTACAAAAGAAATGAGGATTAAGGTAGCAGGGCGCATTTACAAATACAAAAATTAGTCGGATGAGGTGGCTGATAACTAATCTCACGTAGTCCATTCCGGCGCATGCTCTTTCACTCAGTAGGTCGGCGTTCGTCCGATTCGCCTGGTCACATCGTGAACTGCTGTATGTGAGCTTGTGTGTAAAGCGATTGTGTTAGGAATACTGACAGGTGATGCAGCCCTAGTTTCCGTTCGAACATGGTACAGATCCTCTAAGCTAACAAGTTTGCGACCACCACTACCTATATGCGACATCACACCAAAGCGTTGGTTGCTTGGTTATGTGGTTTCAATTAGTATGTGTTGATCTGTGGCTCACGAATGATTGTTGAAATCCACTCAATTGATTTGTTTTATGCTGGTCTAGGATCTGCAGTTGAACGCTCGGTTTGGAATGGTCCACCGATGAATTTGATCAAATTACTTGTCAAATTAAGTAGTTTGCATTCACTGATCATTTTTATCTTTGTTTTGTCCTTCAGGCAACATAAACCCGTATGCAACGTACGCGGCCAGTGGCTTCCCAGAGCTGACGGGGACAATGGGCACAACTGGTGGTGTTAGCAACAAACCGCCTAATGATGCTTGTGTTGGTGTGAGCGTCAGTGGAGCTTGCATTGATCCGAGAACACTAGGAATGTCTTACGGTCACCCTCAGAGAGCAGTGATGGACTCACGCATGGGGACATCTTGGAATACCGCATATAATAGAAGTGAGTTCCCTAGTTTTCTTTCACTTCGGATGGTTTGCGAACTACTTTCCGCATCAGGTCGTTGGACTACATCAACATATTGACATTTCCTTCACTCAGACCTCCGCGGACCACCTGATTCACTTATCACTCCTTCTGGCCACCACTACCATTATCCGAATTTGGAGATGCCAATCGCAAACTCTACGGTTGGTCGACCCAGGCTAGTCAGGGTTGGATCTGCTAATCGACTGCACACGCTGCCCGGCTTCATAGATCCCAGACTCCTGACTCCTTCCACGGCAGCGTTGATTGACCCAATGATGGCGCCGTACGACAACAGCACATTGGGCGGCGACCTCGACGATGACACCAGTCGTATCTCAGTCATCGGGCCAATGCACGTTGGGCTGCAGCGACGGGTCAACTCCTTCGAGTCTCTGCACCGCATACCACGTGGACGTAAGTCTTCATCTTCGTCATTCTGGTTTTAAACCCCAAAAGGAACATTGATGTATCCCCAACCTGGATTGCTTACATGAGGACACGGTATCTCTATTCCCTAATTATTCTGCTCATTTTACATTGATTTACTGTCCCCCGATCGGTCACCATATCGTATATTTATTCCTTGCACTCGATCACTGACATATGCTTGACATTTCAAGGTCATCCATATTATTATGTTACTGTGACACTGCCCAAATACTCGCACGCCGCTGCACGCTGTACAATTTCTGCCCTCTTGCACTACGATTGCAAAACCTATTCGTAAGTCATGTACTGTATTTAATATGCCTTATAGAACCACGGTTACAGGATACTTCGTTTTATTCTTCTGCTCAGACCGTGCGTTAAGTCTAGGTTTATTTGTTCGTAATTTCTACCTTAGTTTTCGTCCGACGTACTTAGTTTAGGCTTCGTGTCGTTGGCACAATGGTCTTTTTTTCCCTCCGTATAGTTTATTTCTCAATCCCACCAACGGTTCAATGATGCGGAATGCACGCTAGCTACTTTGAGTTATTCGCTTTTGGAAATACGACTGAAGTTTTTATAGTTGCCAGTGCAGAGAACCCAGTGGCCGTCTTACTTTCACTTGCTGGCTCGGTTAAGTTTACCAGACTCGTCCAAGCTGCGTCAGGTGTGACTGTTTCGCACGGAAAACAACATAATCCAATAATCAAGCACTACAAATCTCCACGAAGCAAGACACCATCTAGTGAACCTGGTCCGATCATTTTGCACAAACTACACTCACAGTTATCAGCGTGGTTTGTTTTCTTACGGGCGCTCAAATGCAGTTCCATTTGAAGCCATACTTCCACAATTATTTTCGTCCATGCCTGTACCAAGTGCTGAGGGGAGGTATTACAAGGAACATTGAGAACGAGTCACAACCCATGAAACTATCAAAATGGAGGAACTGACACTCACTTATGTGGTGCAGAGCAAACGAAATATGACGGATTATCAGTGAAGAGTGGCAACGGGAAACTGTGCAACTATTGCTAACATGAACTCACAGAATCCGACATATGAAGCGTTCATCCTTTTCGGACTATCATGAAGAAAAACTGTAGGAGACGGAATCGGAGAGGAGCTTCGACTGATGATTTGGCTGCGAACAACGTTTAAGGCACTTTCCAATACCTCATAGATGGATTGGTATACCAAGTGGCCATTAGCAAAGTAGCGTTTGCTTGATTTTATATCAAGCGCCTCGGGTTATCGACAAGTCACGACTGAAAATGCATTAAGCATGACCTGAGTGTCTGGCTCATCAAGACACAAAGGGTCCCACTGTCGAATAATACTAAATAACCATGTTGGATAGAACTGAGGAGACTTTGAGCACCAAACCGGGTTGTAGCTGTACGGGAAGGAGCTGGGCATCTGTCTCATCGATGCGCCGATGTTTTCACTTGTACGTGGTAATTTATAGAGCCAAACAAAGCTAGAAAAAAGTGTTGAGGGTCAATGTGATTTGAATAAGTACAGCATATGACGCGATTTTTCACCCAACCAATTTGCCAGTGGTTCTGCTAACACCAAGAGTAATCTTGGAGCCAGGTAAGGTCAGGGTGAAGTTTGAGAGTAGGTACGTGTTGAACGGGGATAGATAGGACCTGGGTTTACAGCTATTCAATCTGCTAAACCTTTGAACCGGGTTACCGTTCGGTGGCTGAGCTGATTACACACCTATCTTGTAATCCGAGGTCGGCTGTTCGAATCCACGTAGACGCAATCGACCTTGTGGTATACCCAGCCCACTCGCGACTGACATGGGTTGTATTGCACCGAGGCGTGTACGGTGTACCGGCCTGTCTTTTTTAGTCCGGTAAAGCCAATGAGCTTGACATCGGAATAAGATAGGTTTAAACACTGTTCGAGTTTTCCGTATAATTTGCGTTCAGTCACACAATACCTGGACTTTGCTTATATGCTTGGCTTATAGTCATAAACCCTCCATATGGTCTAGTTATATCAAAAACCATCAGCAACCTATCAGGCACGAGTGTCAGCCTCCAGTGCCATCTTACCATGCTTTCGAACTGGTCAGTTTAGGGCGCTCTACTATTTAACGTAAACAAATGTCGCGTTGTGCAATTACGCCATAGACATGCCTACACCTATTTGCTTGAGGCACACGGATTGCAGACTAGCTCGCAAGAACGTGACCTTGGGGTGCCCGTACAGAGTGACCTCAACTGTTCAAAACGGGCTGTGGTAGCTGCGAAACGTGACAAGCAACACGTCGGCATGCTGCGAAGGACATTCGGGAGATTTGACCCATCAATCTTCCCAATGATGCACAATTCCTACGTGCGCCCTCACGTTGAATACGCTATCCAAGCTTGGCAACCTTGGTTGAAGCGTGACCTAGAGGCGCTAGAGGCACCACAACGAAGAGCAACAAAGAATGTAAAGGGCCTGCGCTATCACTATTACCACCGAAGGCTGAAGTTGCTGGGAATTTTCAGCGGACGCTATCGAAGGCTGCGCGGCGATCTCATATTAGCGTATCAGATATTGAGTGACCCCAACCACGTATGCCGCCATTTGCTGAAACTTAGCCACAACACGCAGCTCAGGGGTAACAGCTTGAAATCGAGGAACAATATAGCCGTCTAGAGTGTCGACGGAATTACTTTTCCCTTCGGGTTTGCCAACCCTGGAACGCATTCCCAGACTCAGTTATATCCTCCCCTACCCTTGGTATTTTCAAAAACGACTGCTCTTAGCTCCCAGCAGTTTGTTACCTAAACTATGCCATTTTGGTTATCTTAATCATGCCCTTCTACCGGATTTAGGTGTCACATGGACCCAAGGAGGCGGCGCATAAGTGAACGACCATATTTTACTTTTCTCACGCTTTACACCAACGATCACTGCACCTCGTGTATTTCTGTGTGCTTGCACTCGATTTTTATTTCACACTGGCGTTATTTATCAACGTACTTATCTCGGTAGACGCTCGGTAGATGACTCACATATATTTCGACTTCATTGTACTCATCGCAACCATCCGACAGGATATGTCAAGCGCTTACTTTTATCCCGTGATAAATCATTATTCATTATTTCTACTATGGTGTAAAGAATCAGAAAACTTCAGCTGACGTGTGTATTTTTGAGTTTTATTTAACACGCAGCTTTCTTCATTACCTCAATTGTACACTATCGGTTGCTGAAGTGACACCTTTCATTTAGTCGTCAGGTTTTTCTACACACATTCTGGTCAGCTCAGTTAAAACGCACGTTGTTCTCAGTGTTCGGAACAGAGCGACTTTGTGGAAATACCTAAGAGGTGTTTAATGAATGCTCATTATGTTTACTTTGCAGCGATTTAACTCTGCTTTCCTGAGTTACTGTGTACACCATCGAGCATTATTCCAGTGGAGGAAGAGCAGATCTAGCACTTTTTAGTGAGAGGTTGTGCATATGGATGTAATACTCTGCCTAACTTCAACTGAGGCGTAACATACTTATTTGGAAAAATTAATGAGGCATGTGTGCCGTAGCCTAAACCGCGTATTGTGCGACGGAGAGCAGATGTTCTAACATCAGTGGACAGAGCATCATGGTTAATATTACACCTGTAGGGCGCGTGCGTCTGCGTTTTTCCATCGTAAAAGGTATGTTTTACGTGGTGCACGAAGATCCATTCGCGTGGAGGTCAAGTTGAATCTTCATCAGATTATCGCTGAGGGTGGTAGAGTGCACAGAGCAGACGATTTTGATGTGTTTGCCGTGTCTGTTACGGATATTAAAAACAGCACAGGGCCAAGAACATTACCTCGTGTAACGCCGTCGGTAACGATATCTGATCGATATTTTGTTGTTATATTTGTTGTACTCATGAGTAGGGGATTTTGATGTAATTAAGTGAGGTTCATCGCAGCCAGTTTCCAAATCAGATAGTCGTCCACATGCCCAGAAAAACACTAGACTGCAGTTTCAGCCTGTTGGGCATCATCAGTAGTGCGCATCCATCGGATCCATCAGGATTCGAACCAATGAACACCAGCGGCTTGAACCGCCAGTCAGCAGCTTATGCCACTGGGCCACGGGGGACAGCTTCCGACCGTCATGATTTACAAGCTAACTGCGATATAGCGCGTCTTATCCTCCACTGCCATGCAAGTTACGAACGTTATATTTGTGCCAAATGTATGTAGCCAAAGGGGTGCGGTACAGACCGTTTGATCGAAGCGTTCGGCACTAAGCGAAATACTGGTATATCAGGTTCACCATTCCTTAGGCTTGCAATTTAACTGGCAGACGTCTGTGTGGTAATAGATCAACGCTAGTTTTTAACTCCTGTCTTAAATCTACCATCGTGTCAACAATTAAGGTAACGCAAGAACACAATTTTGCGAAGAGTACACTTTTCGACAAATCTCCTCAGGCATTTACGATTATAAAACGGAAAGGCAGAACACAAATAGCTGATGAAGTTTACAGTGGTCGGATGATGCGCTTGACATTCCACCGATCAACCAACACGTGCTCTGTCACATGTGTTGTTAGTAGACTTTATTGATCAAGACTTTTGAGTTTCTGTTTGTCCTGATTCCACTATTCCCACCTCTTTGGCTTCATCAGCTATTTGTGTTCTGCTTTTACATGTTATAATCGTAAATGCGTGAGGGGATTTGTCAAAAAGAGCACTCCTCGCAAAATTGTGTTCTTGCAATTCCATGGGTATAATTTACGAAGTAAGGTAACATTACTGAAACACAAATTGATGCTTATCTGCTTCGTGCTGTATAGCAGATCAACGCTGTTCCAGTTGAAGAGGTGACTTTGCCATCTATAACGCTGCGATTATTCATCAAATCTCGTTTACTAACGATAGAATGAGACTCTACCTGTGATGGACAGTCAATCACTGCAGTCCGAGATGTGCAACATCGTCACTGAGCTGCTCATTTCAGCTGGCGTCTTGGAATTTTCCTGAGGCTGGATTTTCAAGGTTTTTCAGTGGGCCACCACTCCAATACAATCACTCTCTATCGGTATGCCCTCTCCTGAACTTCAACTTCCGTTCGGTAATGGTCCATTTGAATGGTCAGCCTCGATTAGGAGATCTTTATCATAAAGTCTTTCGTCCTTATGGAAATGGACCATTTCTCTTGATCGTCACTTGGATCGAGTTTATTCCGCGGAAGATTATGTGTAGTCCAGGCGTCGCATTGGATGCAGAAAAGTAAAGGTGGATCGCGGCAGTTTGGAAAGATTATAGTGCGGTTTAAGTAGGAGCGCATTTCCGCTATGGGCGCTTGTGGCGACAACGATTTTGGAATGCTGCTACTTCCAGCTGCCGACGGTACCACCGACGGTACTGAGTGATGTCATTACACACCATCCCGCATATTGCAGACTTCGGAACAAAGTGAACGAAGTGTTCCTTTAGAGAGCGGCGAGTTTTACACGGTTGCGATGCACATTTCGCATTTGCAGCTGAACTAGTACCTGTCATCTTCCTCGATAAGATCTCACTGTCGGCCTCACTAATGATTCGACATAGTGCAGTCACGAAACCCTCGCATTCGATCCCTGCTTCAGGAGATTTATGTGTTCTCGGTCCACCTCCCTTGAATTGCTCTCTTCCTTCTTCCCTTTTCCGGTTTTACCTTATTCTTTTATGACAATCTGAGTTAAGGCAACGATACTCACCATCTTTCAATGCACGGCTTCTAAGTTAGCCGTTGGAGCTACATTCATCCAGTAGCATTCTAACGTTTCAGAACTTGTCATCAGTCGGGCGCCCGTTGACATGTTAACTATCAGTTTGTACTACGGTTAGGAAGTATGGGAAGCAGGGTATCGCACACAACCTGTACGTGCTCGCACTCATAGTATTCACTGTCTGGCACGTTCATTTTTCTGGTGCTATACTCAGCGGTGTTCCCCCATCTCTCTGGTCGCTGGAACCGCGTGGCTTTGTGTACCTCCGCTACCATCGTACGAGTGATACTGTTGTCTGCCACTTGGTGCTTGGCGTCGCATTAGACCATATGCTCAACCGCGTTGGTTGTGTTGTGTTCTTCGCTTTGCGCACCGGACCTTGCTAAGGAGGCTGCGGGGTAATCGGGTGGGAATATGCCAGACTGGTATGAGAGAATAGGCTGTAAAATTTGATCGGGCCGACGCATGCCTGTGTGAGGTCATGGACGGAGCCCAGCAAATAAGTTATCGTTCATTGTTGTTATTCGCTCCTCTACTCTGACTGAGATGAATTCTTTCATCTATCGCTTCTCCTATTTTCTACCTTCCGGAACAACTGTTCGGGCGCTTTTCCTTATTTTCCCTCAACGTTGTCGTCTAAAGCGAGTTACATGTGCGCAAAGGCCACATCATGTAGGCTATATTTTGTCAGGTTCGGACTAGGAAGAGTGTTGTTCGCAACTAAGCGTTAGCACTTCGGTTGCCGGCGCCCTCTTGTCAACACTGCAACCAGTGTGTGATATGATGCGAATGATATGCATTCTACCCAGCTACCTGGATCAATTACTGCGCACAGATCACGGATTACCATCCGTTTTGTTTCCGCCTCCAGTGCCGCTGATCTCAAATCCTTCCCGCTATGTCTGATCACTCACATTGGGTAACATGACCAATTAGCAAATGTTTCTAGTATCTTATATGCACGTTGACCCTTGCTTGCTTGAGCATGCGCGTTTTCCATTAATTCCGCCTCATCAACCACTTCATTTGATGTGTTGGACGCAGTGAAGAGCTGGCCACATGACAAAGGTATGACAGACCACCCATCAGATTCACATTGAAAAACAATTTAATCGGCTGGAATTGTTCGATTCCTCACCGGCCAGTGATCGTCCTGCTCCATGGATCCGCCTTCTCGCTCAGAAGTGGAACGTGAGATCGGACTGTTGAAGTTAAATGAAGCCGCGGGACCAGATACTCTTCATCCAGCCCTCTTCAAATTCGAGAGCACTACTCTTGTTGATGATTTACACGAATTACTAGTGAAACTATGAGAGCAGCAAACTGTTCCAACCGACGGGAGCCGCTCCGTTATTGTTCCCATCTTCAAAGGAGGCTCGCGCTCGGAATGCGGCAACCATAGAGGAATCTGTCTGATCCCAACCGCCTTCAAATTACTTGCATCCGTAATCCTTCACAGACTGACTGGCACTCGTGAAAGCCAGATTCGTGAGGAGCAAGTCGGGTTTCGTCGGGGTCGTGGCTGCATTGACCACATATTCACTTTGCGTCAATTGTTGGAGCACCGTCACATATATTGTCGGCCCACCGTTATCGTGCTTCTCGACATCAATGATGCCTTCGATTCGGTTGATCGATGTGCCCTTTGGAACTGTCTACTCAGAAAAGGTGTGCTCGATAAATATGTAATTTTCGAGCATTATACGCACGTAGCACGGGGGCTTACGGCAAGCAGCTGCCACCCTTCCGTATCTCCAGTGGTGTGAGACAAGATGCCCGCTGTCACCTTTCCGCTTCAACTTCGCTATTGACGAACTCATGGAGATTACATTCACAGAACAAGACTTAGAAGATGTGGATTTGCTGCCAGGAGAACGACTTCTTGACTTGGAGTATGCTGACGACATTGACCTTATCTGTGACAGCACCCAGACGTATCAAGTTGCACTGGACAGATTAGTACTGGCTGTCAGCCGCATCGGGCTTTGCTTTGCTCCATCGAAGTGTAAAGCTTTCCTCCAAGATTGGCAGGGATCGCCTTTTGCGCTGACCCTTGGTGGGGATCAGCTAGAAGTCGTTCAAAAATTCAACTATCTGGGAAGTTGTATCGGTGCCCTTGGGATCGAAGATGAGATCAAGAACCCTATAGCAGAAAGTCGAGGTGCTTTTGCTAGCCTTTGCCATCTATAGCGCTTGCGCGACATCACTCTTGCCCTGAAGGGTAGAGTGTACAATGCAGCTGTAACTTCGACCCTACTGTACGGTTGTGAAACCTGGTCCCTTAGATCAGCGGACATAAAGTGGCTAGTTACATTTGACCACCGCTGCCTTCGCAGTTCGGCTCAAATCTAGTGGGAACACCGAGTGAGCAACGAGCGTGTTCGACGCCTTGTTTACGGCACAGAAAAACAGAAAACACAGAACTGCTCAGCACTGTTATTTCACGCAGCAAGCTCCGATGGCTTGGCCACGTGTTACGCATGCCAGCCCACCGACTTCCGCGATGTGCGTTGTTTGCTTGCCGGGGGTGTGGATAGAAAAAGAGGAGGTGGCTAAGCAATGAGTTGGTCGAGAGGAATGAAGGCCCTCACTTCGAAGCTGGTCTCGGTTGGGGCGTTTCGGCTTCCTGGTTGGGGTCCAAAAGACGATGAACACGTTTGGCTAGATACACTTGCTGATATGGCTAGGAGCCGACCTCAGTGGCATTTTTGCTGAGTTTCTTTGTCCCTCCCCATCCCTTTTAGTCTTCCCATCCAACCACGATCACAATTCTTAGCATAGTATAATTTTGCATACTAATTTTGTTGTTGCCTAGTAGCCTGCTGGTAGCTTTCCGAAACGATATCCATCCGTTGCTGGTAGCTCAGCTGGCATGCAACTGTTGCATTTATTTTCTTTTTCTTCTATGTATGGCAGCACTGTAATTGAGGTGCTTTACACCTCTAGCTAACGTGTATAATGAATGAATGAGTTAATACGTCATTAACTACTACTGGTCCGATAGTACGAACAGATTGATTTCCCTGCGTTCATGGTTTGTCACTTGTAGGAGCTGCTTCACAATTTATTCATGGTGAGTAAATCACATTGTGTTTTGTCATCTCTTGAACCAGTTTCACAGACTTATCACCGGGGATTCGCAGTTCAACTCCCAGGACGTTCGCTCATGCCGGCAACTGTTCTTGGTCCTGACGGTACCCTCATTCCGGTGGCTGGGCCAATGGGCACTATCGTCTCGTTCTACGATTCGACGAAGCACATCGACCCAGCCGTTGCGTATCGCGGGAGTGTGATGTCCAGTACCACCGCTTCGTCTAATCAAGACGAACTCATGCAGGCCTATGAGTACGGGAGGAAACACCAGTCCCGTGTTGGTGGCCCTGCAGGTATAAATGTTGCTGCTACGGGAACCGGTTTCGGATCCCGATTACCAATCGCTTCGGAACGCACCCCAACCGTGATGCATCCTGGTGTTACTCTAGGAGGCGATGCGAGCGGCGGATCCGGCTCCAGTGATGCCACTGACTCAGGTATTCGACAGTTCACACAACAACCTCCTCAGCCAGATGAAGCACGCTTGGCTGCTTGTGAAGTTCCAGCCATGTATGACTGTAAGCGTTTGAATCTTTGTCTCTCATGCATATGCTGGTTGCAAACTAGTCTCTTTTTCCGGTATACCGCTAAATGCTTGGTCTCATTGTATTGGTAGTGGAATGCATGCCAAATAACTCCAACATATTTCACAATACAGCAGTCCCCAGTGTAAATTAAACTCGTGTCTTCTAGTCCAGCCTGTTTATTTTCCTCTCCCTTTTGAACCGAGTTAACAATGAATACACTGCATTTGCACAGGTAATCGGTTTGTCCCGCATCGTTCGAGGCCACCGGCCAAAATTAAATTTCCCCTCAGTCTTGCCACCGCCGATCATCGACTTGCCCCAACGCTCCAGCAAACGGAGACGAATTGTCATCCAGAAATGAGGGACACATATTCCTCGGTCGATTACAACGGAGTCCCTTACGGCGCTCCTGGAGCATCCTCTCGTTCTGCGATGGGGCAGAGGAACAACTTGCCCCAACGAGCCATTTACGGTGCGGGTGCGTTGAGTGGGCCCACTTCGACTCGCACTCGCCAACCCCTTCCTGCTCTACCCTCACCTTCGACGTTGGCCTAGTAAGTCAGCCTCAGAAACTGACACGTTTCACACACTGTATCGCGATGACGCACCGCTTGTTATTGCCTAAATCACCCCACCCATTATGAGTGTATCGTTTCCATTTCACCCTACACTGGAAAAATTTGGAACGGAGCCTCGTCCACGTCACCATATCACTACTGGCAGTAGTGCTGTTCCGATAAAAGCGTTAGTCTGATGCCGAACGACGTCGCTAACGCTGCCATTGGTTATCTCTGGAAATAGGTACCCGCAGAGACCTGTACAGATACTTTGTCTACCAAACGAATTTCGCAACCCCATCGGGGAATTCCGCTGGCATCTACGCTTTGCGTCAGTACCATGGTGCTCGTGATGGTGGCATTTTGTGCAACCATATATGTATTTTCTGAGCTTGACATAGCACTAACGTTCTCACCACATGTTAAGGTCACGCCCGGGCGATGAATGCTTTGAGCAACGTGACTATAACCAACACGGACGAACAGTGTATCCATCTCTAATTGTTTCACGCGAGCCCGGAAGACAGAGTTGAGGGTCCTTTTGAAGTACACGTTGTGTGAATGGATTGTGACGCGCAATCTCATTGTGGACCGTGATTCACATGGAAGTGAATCTTGGTCAATTCGGTCACTGGGACCTTAATTGCTATCTCTATCTGATGAGAACCAATAATGTCGAACCGCTTCCTGGAGTGCGGTGTTTTCGGGCGAGTAACACTTAATATCTACGTGCTGATCCAGAAGACATTTGTGCCATGGTTCCACACCCTTGCAACCTCGGTTCCATGGACTAAATAAAGGAGTTACAGTATCCAGTTCTTCCTCAGGTTTTTTTGTACAACCAACATTGGGCGTTTCTCGATCACTTCTCAAACGGTTTTGGCTGCACAAATCCTGTGCAGTTGCACTGATTTAGTGGTTTAGAGCAGCACACTATGCAAAACAGTGCAGTGCTCAAGTTGACATTGATTGCACGTCTCTTGTCACGTTTTACCGGCCCCCTGCAACACAAACCAATCAGACCCATGCACCGAATGACTTTCCTTTTGAAAGTTATCATGACTTTCTTAAGAACATAGGTTTAGTGTGCTCCAGGAGCGCCCAGTGTTTCCAACGTCTCTCTGTCGTAAATCGGGACTGATCTTAGTCCGAAGTACAATAACGAATATTCTTTGCAACGAATAGCCAATTTGTTTCTGTCGCTTCGGGCAGGTCACCAGCGAAGTTCACTTCAGGTTCCTCTAGTACATAAACGGGGTCACCTCGAATGGATCTGGGGTGTCAACTGTGTCTACTCCATTCCGAAGTAAGTTATACTACTATCCAAGGGATACGAATAGAAGTCAAATCTTATATGTTATCTATCCTGCTCACAACCCACTTACTGTGGTAGTAACAGATTGCTGATAACATTTGAGTTATATTGTAAGATGGAACGGACCGACGTTTGATGCGTATCCCCGAGTGACATATTATTTCTACCAGTGATTCACACGTATGTCCTCAAGGTGTCTATCGGTCTGCAGCATCGATCCGATAGCGTCCTTCGGATAGACTACTGGGGTGCACAGTTTTTATAACACTTCCGAGATAAGTAAACAGCTCTGATGAAAATGGGTCTGCTGTCAATTTTTGCACATTTAGTCTTCGCGCTCACTTTAATTTTGACTGAATGATCGCCTGACAAGAATGGATCCCTCATGAGTCGAGTAGTAAATGTATATTTCATTCACCTCTCCGGGTTAGTGGGTACAACCAATTACCCCCACTCCACACTCGGTTCCATCGTCGTCTCAACTCTTCACTCAAAGTTTACTGGATAGGGACTGGAACCAAGAATTTGGAAGCAATAGACGGACGACTTCAAAGTCACATCAGCGAGTTTCGGGGGGGGGGGTGATGTATTCTGGAGCGATTAGAAGGTAGTCGTTAGACTTTGTTACTCCCGCTACGCATTCGCATTACAAAGCACAATGTCCTGTCGGCACACGAGACACTTTGAAATAGACCTCGGGCAATTCGATCACCGCAACGGTAGCATAGACAGGGACGAAACCGGTCATACTGTCCAGGGTTTGCTGCAAGCAACTCCTTGCTGCTTTATCCACTCCAGAAACGGTCCCAATGCTAATCGCGATTTACTTCAACGTAACTGGTGATTCAAACGGAGAATCTGTGTTACGATCCATTCGCTTACACAGGTATTCCATAAACTCAGCGATAAGTATCTTTCCGGGTGAAGGTGCTTTTGAAGCAGTCACCTTGTGAGAGGATCGCGATACGTGCTCTCAATCTAGACTGCGATTCACTTCGAGATGAATCTCAGCCAACTCAGTCCATGTTTCGGATACACTCAAGCTATCGGATTAATCGAATTTTGCTTCAAAATGAATGGCGGTCCAGATTGAACTTGCGTGTCGCAATCCACTCACAGAACGAGTATCACAAATTCCCGCCAATCGGTCATTGACCATCGGGATAAGCACTGCTTGCTACTCGGTGGCTTAGAATTGCAGACTTCGGTTGACCCCCTAACGTCTACCAGAATCGAGTCGCGACGCTGGTACGTTTGCCTGACAAATGCAGCCGTGCAATGTTGCAGGCATGCAATGCTTGACATTAGCCCCTTGAGATGTTTCCACCAATTTGGACAGTTGTCACGAAGATTCACCGACCCATTCATGATGTGCACATCGTGGGATCTTGGGCCAGTTGCGATGCAAACTAGTCTCATTCCATCTGGATTATACCGGGTGTGTGTGTGTGTGTGTGTGCGAATGCGATCACTGATGTAAACAGCCCATAGCTTTCGAATTCTTGGAAAATACTTGGAGCCGATCGAGTAGCCATGGGTATAGCAGTTTGGCAACTTCTCGCTCTTGACACAAGAGCTTCGTCAGACCAGGCGAGTTAGTGTGCAATTGGAGTGGGGTTTTATAGTGAACAGAGGTGATAATCGCGTTACCCGAGACTTGAGCCAAGGTGTCATTACAGTCACAGTTCGTGATGTCACCTCAGGTGGTTCAATCACAGTGGGATTAGTCCAGGTGTTCTTTTGTGCGTCATGGCATTGACGAATAAGCCCATAGTGTTGACAATGGGCGTCCGTTTGCACTTTCCAATCTGATCCAATCACCGGTGCTCGTCAGACTGGCCGGCTTAAGATGGCTCGCCACGCACTAGAGAGTTCTACCCTCTCCATTCTATTCACGCAGTCGTCAGATTTGGCAATTTCCACCGCCTCGGCAATCAACCGTTGAGGTGTTGCTCGTATACCCCTCCTAATGACCTCTAGGTTTTCCAAGTCTATCTGGTGACCCGTGTCTAATGCATGCACAGCCACGGCCGAGTCTCTTACTATTGCCTGATATTCAAACTCGTTTCTTGGTGATCTTTAAATGCGCATCCCGTGCTCTGAAATTCGTGTGCGTAATTTTCTCGCTGTTTGGCCTAAGTGCACATGTGCACAGTCCGTACATTTAATTTTATGGACACAATTAGTCGTCCTATTATTGGGAAGGGGGTCCTTCAGGTGTACCAACGCCGTATGTAGCAGTCGACCTCGCTGAAACATCACCCTTATATTTTCCTTGTTTAGTACCCTCCGAATTGCCTCCGAAGTCCCTTCCTTGTACAGAATTCCTACCGTCCCTATTCACTCAGTTATGGGTCTTGACTGCCGGTTTAGCACTTTATATATATATATATATATATATATATATATATATATATATATATATATATATATATATATATATATATAGTTAGCTGGTCAGACCTATCTATCTGTGGAATAAACTACTATTTACACACAGGTCATGTGATAATGTGGCAACATTTATATTCATTTGTATTCATGATCTTATCCAACCTTGGACATCCCTGTCTCCACCTACTCACACTGCACCAATCGGGCTCCCACCTACGTGAGCACGCACTGAGGCTCACACATCAGCACAGTCGGCTGAACTGCAGACGACACTACTTCGCTTTGCGAATCTGCCGACCGTAAAATGCTCTGCCTGCCGATTTAGTCTTGGCACCCACTGCGGCGGACTTTAAGACCCACTTGGACTGTCATCTGGCCGAGTTACACCGCGATATTCCCTAATATAACTACCTTCTACTGGATGGAATTTCTTTCCTTTTTTGCTTCTACCTACTTCCTTTCCAAAGCCGTTTCGGAGGGCGTGGTGGGATGTCACACTTTGAGCCGGCGTGCATTCTGTTTAAATGCCGCATAAGTCCGATGAAGATACGGCTAACACGCGAGTCCAACCCGCTATAAGGTTGCTTGGCCTTTCATTAGACCCGACCCGAACTCTTTTTGCCCCATGGGTCATGTAAAGCTCGAGCTTTTATTCCCATTAAATACAATTTTCCAATGTCCCAAAAGTAAACTTTCTATTTACCTTGATCTAAATACCTAGATCACTATATTCACATGGGAAAAATCCTTCGATGAGCTATTCGAATAGAGCCCAAAAACATCTACAAACACCAGTGTTCCAACAACTCATCTTTCGCCTCAACCATCCACCAGAACGTTGCTACATGAGACGCATATTCAAAAATTCCACCTATACTGTCGCCCATGCAAGCGCATGGATACTTTTGTATAAATTGATCTGTGCCGCTACGAACACAGTTTATCACATCAGGAGAAATATACATATTGTTGTTATTATTATTAGTACCTCAGTGTGTTTCATCATCCAGTTACCCGACAACCTTCTTAATTGACCGTCGCCAGTCAGGAGCCCGTTTTCGGTGGTTGTGTAACTTGGTTGGTGAAGGGCACTCGCAATCCGGATTGACGACGATGCTGCATGATCTAGACCCATAGTATTCCTTCTATGGCGCCATTAACTTGATAGGGCCTATTTGCGCTTCGTCATCCCGTTCCATAGCCCGCAAGCAATAATTTTGGCCAGTAGACTGATTGCTGTACCATATAGTTCAGTGGTTTGTTACTTCGCATCACAAGTTATAGGCGTCCATCCTTTAAATTACCTAGTCCCAATCTGACGCCTATTACGAATTATCGCCATCAATGTATCGACGCTGTGCGTAATCTGGAGAAATATCAGACTAAATTCTATGATGTGTGTATTCATCAATCAATGGAAACCGATCTCTTCTCAAATGCACCATATTTCTGTACTTATTCCAGCTCTGAGGACCTGTCTTCGAATTACGCTCCAACCTACGGTAATTCCCCACAGGGTCTGTGCAATTCCTCCGCTGGAACGCATCCAGCACTCCTTAAAGCCTGTGCCCCAATGCCGAACACAGGCCGTCTTCCTTTGAGTGCAACTCAACTCCCACGACAAGGTTAGTGCGTGGATGTATTCTCGCTTTGAGTCAGTGCTTGAGAGCAAAATGCTTTTGTTTGTGCTGTTTGGTCACAAGCCTGATACCGCAAAATTGGAAATGAAATGTCAGACAACACTTTGCTTTCAGTTTATGATTTATTTGCATAGCTTATCACTAAAGGACGCCCTGGAGTTATGCAGTGTTTTACGGTGTTCCTTGCCGACATCTATAGATAAGTGGCAGCCACACATGTGGTCCCACCAGGTACGAACCGTGCTCTTCTCTTCTCTAGTCTCGTACGACCTTGAACACGAGTTACTCTCTACATACAGCATTGTCTCCTTTTAGAGATCATTTCACTACTGAGTTGGGGTACTCTCTGTTTCGATATTGCGCATACATGCACGCACGCACGCACGCACACCGCTCGCGAGTTTGCTTCGTTCATTTCCCCTTCCGGAACCATTCCTGGCACGTAATCCATCGACTTTCGAATGACACCGACCCAAACCATTTCTTTGGCTTTCCTCCTCACACCCTTGAATTAACCTTGAATGAGAGTACTCACTAATTTATAGGTTGTTAAACTTTACGTTGCAGATTTACGAGGAAAATTTATAATGGAATCAATGGTGGTGGGGTTTTTATCCATGAAACCTTTCAGAGTCTGATGCACTTTTTATGCAAACTATTGTCTCCTTTCCTTCCCGGGTTACATCAAAGTTCCGTCACCTGTGCACTTCACATGTATCCCCATTCGTTCAGCTCTTCCTGCAATGTTTGTTAACATTCCCTTATTCTTTTCCTTTCTGCCTAATTTCCCCCATCCATCTCTCCGTGCCCACAACGACGAGGGGAGAGAGGCTACGACGGTCGACTATGAGAGTCTGCTTCTGGTGTCTCTTGTTGATGTGGAGAGGACCAAACCTCTTGGTCTGACTTGGCTTCGAACCACGCACTCTAAACAAAAGGAATTTGTGTCCCTGAAAGATGATATAATGTTAGAGGATTTATCTCCGTGCACATTATCCTGGCCTTGTCTTTTGTGCTGCAATACGAGTACGAACGGTATGTGTTTTTCAATAATTCTCATCAGAACATTACAATTATAAGTGCTGTGTCGTACACAGTCGCTATGCGGAAAGTCATAGCCCATGGGGCTAACTGCTATCCTCTGCACAGTGGAAGATGAGCCGGGCTATATTATTATCAGCTGTCCATCTTGCAGCTGCCATCATTCATGGCTTAGTGGCACAGGCTGCTGGCATCCGGAAGTAATGGGTTTGGAACCCAGCAGGGGTCCGAGGAAGGCGCACCACTGACGAAACCCAGAATGTCGAAACAGCGCTGTCTGGTGCTTTTCCAGACATGCCAAAACCTGCATTACCTCTGGATTATAAGAAAGAAGCACTCAACGCAGTATGCTTATGAAAGCTACGTTGATGACTGCTACTATTTAGACGATACCGGTAAATTGGATCGATAACTATGTCCTGTGGGCTCACATCTAGCCAGACTATATGGAGTTCTCAAGGTGCACTAGCCCCATGTATCTTTACGCCCGCCAATCGATATGCCCTCCTCCGGCTTCCATGCTGCAGTGAAGTGACCTCTGGAAGTGTTGGAGTCAGTACAAAAAGAAATTTATACTCTTTGAAGGACTCGTCTGAATAAGTTAACCGCGTAGGGAATTTAAACGTCAACGGCAAACTCATGCTTTCATTTGACGTAGAATCACTCTTCACCAACGTTCCGTTGCTGGAGACCATCAATCTCCTTTGTGAATATGTAGTCATGAATAAGTTGGACCTCGATATTCCTGCACGCCCCATAAAGAACTGATTTTACGGTGCACTTTCTATAGGCAGTTCTTAGGTATGGCATCTACTATAGACAAATTGATGGTGTAGCGAAGGGGTCACCCAAGGCTGATATTTTCTTGGCGAGCCTGAAGTGCGGACCATTGCAATCCATCATATCGCTTGATTTCTACATCAGGTACATGGATGATACATTTATTATTTGTGATTCATAATTAGACGTTTTATGTCTATTAGCTCAATTCAACAGTGCACATCCATCATTTGCATTTCATCAGTGGGATAAACAGCGAGGGAAAATTGCCTTTTGTATTGCTGAAACGACGAAATGATAGTTCTCCTCAGAGAAGAGCGTTTTCCGGAAACTTATATGGTCGGTCAGTACACCCACTTTCTAAGATTTGTAGATTTGCAGGACAAACGGAACTTAGCTCTTTTCTTGCATTATCCTGCTGCCAGAATTTAGTAGCCCGAAGACGCTGGATGCTGAGAAAAGTCGCATCTTCAGAACGTTGCAAAAGTACAGATACCCCGTCCCGTTTATCAAATGCACGCAACGATCCTGGTACGCCTGGAAACCGCAGGGACTGTACCAAAATTGACGTGCCTCCCAGTTCCATTCAACGGGTACGTCGTCCTTGACTTACTGAATAGAGGACTTTCATAGCAGTGGCCAAAACCTACCCAGCCACCTACCCACATATGCTCTCTCAGACTGCATCATTTATAACACAACGTCTCAAGAACAAACCCCCAGTCCAGTCCAAATCCTACATTCCGTATCAATTTACTTGCATCCTTGATGCAAGGCATATTGGACGCACGGCTAGATGTTTGTCAAAACAGATAACAGAACACTGCATTGGGTCGCTACGAGGACGCATGCCTAGAAGCATCATGGAGCATTTGTTCCCAAGCGAACACGAGATCCGGACAGCAGACGCGTTCCGTATTTTGCTCCATGTCGCTGCGTCAACCTAAAGGGCTAAAAAAGCGTCTATGGAAGACAGCTGAGATGATCGCTATCATGCTGGTTCAGCTTGAATCTTGCTAGCAGAAAGCCATCGTGCAAGAACTCTTGTTGACTTGGCCCCTCGGGAACCCCTCGACGTCCGACACTGGCAGCGTAACCTCGGCTGCGAAGCCTATCTCCAGAGAATCGACCTAATTATCCAACCAATTTACCGGTCTCGTTCAAACGGTAGTAGTACTCACTGTAGCTTTCCTTAGCATACGGCGTTACATGTTTCATTCTTATACTTCTAATGGCCTGATGAGAATTATTGAAAAGAGATCTCCTCGCTAATCGGACTTTATTTGAATATGGGAATAATACATATGTTTATAGTTTCCCCTAGCGGTCTTGGACGACGGTAACATTTAGTCCAAACTAAACTAATTAAACCCAACATTTCCATACCGATCATTTTATGCAACAGCTTGCCGCTCTGATTGGTGATCTGCTTTCTCCCCCTCCCCCCATCCTCTTGCTGCCAGTCTACAGTAAAGGAACTACTTACTTCACCTCATCCACATTTTCCTTTGGGTTGCTTTACTGTTACTCAAAGTTCCGCCTTCACTTCGACAGTACCAAATGGGAGCGACAAGGAATTTGCGTGTTTTCCGTTTCTTGTGTGTTCTTCAGGTACTATGATTTCGTTTTTCCAATTTATAGTTTTTTTGGAACCACGACCTTACTCTTGCGAGTCAGCAACTTATGCCACTGAGCCATGGGCGCCGGCAGCGGACCGCCATGACTGCTATCTAACTGCGATATAGCGCGGCTCATCCTCCACCTAATAAATCCCCCTACTACTTACAAATAATCAGTAGTCGCCTTAGCAGCATACTTGCCACCTCGATTGGTGGAGGCTTGCAAAGTAAGTCGTTGCTTTGGGGGTCAGCCCTGTCCTCTGCACATGCATAGCAGGCAAGACAGTGGCGGATGAGCCGCGCTATATCGCAGTTAGATAGCAGTCATGGCGGTCCGCTGCCGGCGCCCATGGCTCAGTGGCATAAGTCGCTGACTCGCAAGAGTAAGGTCGTGGGTTTGAATCCAGCAGGACTCGGCGGGTGCGCGCTACTGACGAGTCCCAATAGGACGAAACGGCCGTCTAGCGCTTCCCTGGATGTGTGGTGGCTATCTGTCTGTGCCTAACTGCGACGAATCTACCCAAAAACCTAATAAATCACCCTACTACTTACAAAGACATGCTTAAACTCCTACCAACCGATCAGTCATATAGCCGGTACAGAGACTTTCCGTATGCAGTCACTGTTCTTCCAAATGCTCTACGCCGCTGCAAACAGAGGATATGGCATCTAAGACATTTTGAGCTCCTTCTAATTTGGGCGCCTTGGGTTATCATGATCCTTGTTGAGTCACCTAACTATGATCGATCGCACCGAACATCTCCCCTCAAAGCTGTCGTCAGATATTGGACGGACGCAATTGTAGCATGTTCTGCGATTCGCCATCTCTGATTCGTCAGTTCACCCCGGAACTGTACGTGTGCGGAGCTGCAAGAAATGCGCCTTCGCACTACACATAAGCACAAGATCACAAAACCTTTTTCTGGTTTGAGCATTCTGCTGCTTTTCTTCGAGGCACGTAAACTGGCTATGCGTTAGCATTTGTCTACACGCTACAGCCCAGCTGCGAAGTGTTGCGCACCGATTGGCTAGGCGCTTTAACCATTGAGCTGCGCATGCACCCCGTTTATCATGATCTGCGACCCTGTCGATCTGACTGACGGCGGTTCCTTGACTTCTGTCACCCTACCCAGTCACAAATCTTACAGGGGACAGTACGAACCTTGTGCCATTGCTCATTTTTTATTCCGTACACTCCTCACAGTCGAACCACGTCACACTGGCCGGATTATGCGAGGGTACAGCAAGTTTCCGCATACAGAGAAGGTTTGTTTTTTTCTTTTTACACAAAATAAGCATTACATTTTTTCGAAGTACTCTCAATCAACACTCATGCATAGTTCCATGCTCTCAAACCATTTGGAGAAGCACCTAGACCATGCCGAAGCGGGGAATCCTTCAAGCAGCTCTATAAATGCCTCTACTACTGCTTCTGGCGACTCGTAACGGATTTCGTGCATCATGCGCTTGACATTCGGGAACACAAAAAGGTCACGCGGAACTAGGTCTGGACTGTAGGGTGTGACCAACCTCCTGGATGCGTTTTCTGGCTAGATAATCTACGACGACATAGGACCGGTGTGCAAGTGCCTTGTCATGGTGCAGCAAGGTCCCTCGTGCTCGAGTTCTTGGACGACCCCTGGTTACACTTTCCAGCACTTGTGGCAGACAGTGGGTGGCATACCAGGCTCTGGTGATTGCGTTGCCGTACGAGCGGTACATTATCCACATAACTGGTCTTTGCCACAAACACAACCACCATCTGCTTGGCGACACTGTACTCACGTCGGAAGTTTTGTGGCGACCCCCTACCAACGGCCATCCACTGAGCCGATTGTTGCTTGGTCTCTGGGTCGAAACTATACACCTAGGTCTCATTACCACTGTGAATCTCCCAAACAGCATTAGAACGTCCACCATGAAACCTGGCAAGCATGATGCGGCACCAATTCACCCGAGCTGCTTTGTGGTCCCCACTGAGCTAATGGGGTACCCAGTCTCCACAAACCGTTCTGCGACCACGGTTTGCATGTAGGATGCTGCGGATTGATCCCGATGGCTTTCTCCAGCTGTACCATAATTACCCGTGTGTCCTTTTCCTGCATGGCTTGCACGGCAGCAATGTTGTCCGCGGTGGTGGCCATCGTGCACCATCATCTAGGGACCGCCTGCCACTATTGAATGCCGCAAACCACTCAAACACAGTGGTTGTTGATGGCGCATCATCACCAAACGCAGCACACAATCGCCCAACACGTTGGTGTTGCTTTAAATCACATTTGAAGTCATAGAAAATCATCCTCCTTCAGTGACATCGACTGAGTTCCATACTTACATACATTGAGCTGTGCTGGGATGCTGATATAGGGTTCTGTGACTTGAAATCCATGAATGATGTTCAGAATGGATTAGAGTTTACATTTTTTTCTTGCCAGGTCATCTGCACCTAATCTGTGTACTGCGTATCCAGAAGCGTATTGCTCTGCTCTCGTATTGTGCTTCTGAACGATACGCAGGACCTGTTTAGCGCGGGACCTGACTTCGTTCTTATTCCCATTAAAATTTCTAACCATCTTTACATTATGAACTTTGTTGATGTCGAGTGGAACCAGCGACTCTGCACGACCAGACGTTCATGCGAACTCTTGCTGACCATGTCCGATGTTGGTTCATCTGATTCACAAAGTGGGCGGAATAAGCTCTGCTGGTGTTGGCGCACGCTGTGTATGTCCGGCCAACGTTTTCTGAAGGGAGTCTTGTTCTAAGTACATGTCAAGTGTGACCTGCTCACATAACTGTACTCCACGAACTGTGTGTTCCTTGGTTACACTCATCAAGTGTAGATTGCTTGGGATCTCAGACGAGACCCCCACACCTAAGGGATAGTCTTGCTATCTACACCTGAAAAGATTAAAAGCACGAAACCGGTCGTGGAGTGCAGTATTGCGAGCCGATGTTCTTTAATATGTGTATACTTCATTTGTGGTCCAGATTGAATCTTGGTACAGATTGGAATTGCGTACCGCGATCCATTCGCACAACGAATACTTCAAAATGACTCTTCATGTAGTCTTGTCCTGTTCATCTGAACTAGGATAATGATAATGACAATGCGTCTCTTTCTCGATTGTGCAAGAAGCTGCCCCTGAGTTTGGGACACATCATGACTACAGTAATGATCATACTCATGCAGGAACGAGATATGTATTCTGAAGCGTTTATGTCATGACATTTTGAAACACATCATTGTTGGTGCTGAGTATTGTGTAACGTATTTTCTTACTTGTTATATATTCCTTGGCCCAACACGGAAGAACTCGTTTCGTGATTTACCCGATGGAAACATAATCGTTATCGTGTTCTGGTTCAGGAAGTTTCTAAGTTTAATGCATAATGTTCTTGAATTTTTACGAAACCTGATAGTGGCTGGTAGACTTTCACACGAAAGCATATATTATGAGGAAAAAGTTGGCACAATCAGTTTGCAAGCCTTGTTGCGTAGTTTCCGGGTGAAGTCATGTTGCAATTTTAAGTGTACACAGATTGGAGTGTCTTTTGGTTTATAAGATTGTGTATCAGCATCAGGTTATATTTTAGTCATCGCAATCAAACAGGCTCAAATTTAAGCTGCTGACAACGCTCCTGATAGCTCAAAGTGAGCGGTTTACTGAACATTCTCCTAGTGAATGATCTCTGCAAGTTTTCAAAGCTTTTCTATCACCCATACGCATATTCTCATATATGCTACTACAGTATTCAAGGACAGGAAGCGCGAGTATTTCGAAAAGCTTGATTTTGGCAGGGACTATGGATTTTATGACATATGTTAGCTATTCATCGTTCGGCGCGTGCTATTTCATGCTCAGCCTGTTCTGAGAAATTGAAGTTTGAAGCTTAGTACATGCCTAGATCACAGTTAGACAGTTTCATACAGATGCGCCATTATTCAATTTAATTCTTCAGGGACTAAACCTCCTTGACATAGTGCATGATTTATTATCTGCGAACTTTATCAACCATGTCTTGCACCATTTCTCAAGTGAATCGACGTCTTTTTGAGCGCGCAATCTTGGTCTCTGGAGTTCGTCTCGTCTGTTTTCATAATCAATCTTACTGTCATCGGGGAACAAAAGTGGTCTACCATGTTTCATGAACATCGTGATATCGTTACTATGGAGCAAGAAAATGGAGGGAACAAGTAAGCTTCCCTGGGTGACACCACTAGTGATTGGATGCGGGGAGGAGTTATGAATACTCAGAGGGACTCCCTGATAACGCCCATTTAGGTCTGATGTCAACCAGTCCAGCAATGCGTCTCTGATCCCAAATGGATTGATTTTTTCAGTAGCCAATTGTGAGGCACCCAGTCGAATTCTTTTTGCATATCAAGGAACAATATAATAACGGCAAAATTGGAGTCAATGGATTCTGTGATGTAATCCATGTAGTGCAACTGACACGTTGTACAAGAACATTTATCCAGGAACCCATGCTGGGATTTGTTAAGCATCCCAAGACGATGGATAAACTCCATGACTTCACATTTAATTAATTTTTCGGGTAGTCTAACATTGATGGGAGTGTGATGCACAGGTCGATAATTGGTGACCTTCTGTCCGGACCCCCGTTTATGACGAAGAGCAATAAACGATGTTTTTCACTGATCCGGAAAGTAACTGGAATGCAAGGACAACGGGAACATGTTCAACAAAAGTAGTAATAAGTCGGGTCTACCGACTTTAATGACTGATGGGCAGATGCCATTGGGATCCAGTTTGAGCGATGGTTTGGTGGACTTCATGGCCTGTTGGGTGGTCGAAGGGAAATTTCCACATCGTGTATGAAGTTTGTTGTTGTAAATTCCGGGCAACAAAGTATGGGGTCGGTTTCTACGTTCATGGAGGCAGCAAAAATAAAAGAACTAAACAATTCACAATTAGCGGGTGGGCCGTTAAGGTGGCGACCCTCCTCATTGATCAGTTCCGTGATCAAAGACGTCCGTTCGTTAGTTCTATGACGGAGTAACTTTGTCATTTCCTTTCCTTTGTATGCCATCCGCAAAGGCGTTCTCCGCCTCCCTTTTAATCCGCTTCATTTTTGAACGCTTGATACAGGTGATGGGCTCGTGCAACTGTAATATTAGTGAAAACTCTTTGATCTTTCTGATTTCCCTGGTTAGTTTTCTCATTTTCAGGTCACTCCAAATATCACTTGAATTCTTGTGAAGGCATTGATCAATCTGGAAGCGGGCAATAAAGTCAGCAATCGCTGCACTGAGTGAGGTTGCCCAGTTTCACATAGCCTGGAGCCTACTCGATACAAGCTTTGTTCCGATCGAGATCCTAAGAAAGGTGGCGTGTAACCATCAATCCTTTGTCGTCTTACACTAGTCAGACTACCGATCCAAATACATATGGTCCTAATGTATTTGCATGACAATGTTGACTGGGATGCGAGGCGGTGAAAGCCGCAACGAAGCTGTTTCCTCGGTGTCACTCTACTCGCACACGATAGTCAGCTGTTTGCGACTGTCGGTATAGTGTCGGAGCTTTTAGACTCCTTCAGATCTCACTGCATGTTCACTTCTCCGCTTTAGCGTTATTTCGTCAGTAGCGCCCAAACCGGTTGTGTGACAGTTATGTATCGGCGCAAAGCACGGTGTTGTACTGTTCCTGTGTTTGTGCCACTTTCTCATTCTCAGTGACACGGACTCACTTCGTATATTGTTACCGTGCGCCACTGATAATTCCGATTGCTAACTTGTATTCTATTTTTCAATGTTTCACTCACTGTATGTTGGATTTGCACAATTCATTACCGTCATTGAATTGTCCATTTTAGGTACCGGACTCGGGCTCTGTCGGAGTGGACTGCCTTCTAACATGGCAGTAGCGTCGGAACACGGTGGCCTGTACGTTGCATGTGCTGTATTCTCACTCTGTCACACCGTCTCATTTATGATTCTGTTGCCCCCGATAGCAAGCTAGAGGCCAGCACACTTCTGTACCCATCTGTCTTCACTTTGAGTCCAGTGAATACTTCGACGCATGCACGAGACTCTTTGTTCAGTGGATGGAGCTGCGAGTGATGTACGGGCACACGCCACCAATAGTCTCTCTGTAGGCTGTGTCTTCTGGTTGTTCGCGATAGTGCTGACGAGTATATCCGGAAAGTTATGCCGCTAATTTCTACTACTTAGTTCACAATAGCGACATACTTTATGGAATCATTTTTGTCTTTGCTCGCTGTCATTATTGCTCTCCATGGCCGCTTTTGTCCTCCTACGGAGTGCTCACGTAAAAACAGTCTGGGCTGACACTCGACTCCTGTACCGTGTAATCGACGACTAACCCTAGCGAGTGTAGAGAGCAGTGTCGGGGGCGCACATCATCAGGAGTTCCTGGCCTTTGGGTACGTTCCCAATGACCAGAGTGAACAATGAACGATGATTTATGCCGGGTCAAAAAGCAGTTGCTTGACAAGTCCCGCAGCATGGTTGGGGTAAAACTACAATTATCAAAATATCTGCGTTCTCTGTTTGAGCGTTTATCCAGCAGATACGCCGCTGAATAATATTAATGTAACTGAGAATTGCACACGAACGACGAGGCAACATGGGGCCATTTATAGTTGATGTACTCCGTGAGAAACACAAAAACGAGAACACTCATTTCTGTACGGCCTCCTCAGATTTATGTGACAGGTTAATCCGGTTTAAATGGATAGTTAATATATTCCAAAGTTGCACAGTTTAGGCAACGAAGTGATGGAGGCCAAGCGCAAGATCCACTCGTTTGTTGAGAATATCCGAGGTGAGGGAAGAATAACGAAGTTTGGGGGAGAGTTCCAAGATTGGTAAACCCGAAAAGAACAATAATTCCGCCGGTCTTCCAGGTGGTTATATTGTACACACAATTTCAGAAGGTTACCCTGAGATTTGTGTTATGGCTGAGTTTCGGCAAGTGACAGCAAACGTAATTAGGGTCACTCAATATTTGGTAGACTAATATGAGATCGCCGCGCAGCCTTCGGTAGCGGCCACTGAAACCTCCCAGTGACTTCAGCCTATGATAGTAGGACAGATTTCGTAGGCACTTGACGTTCTTTGTGACCCTACGTTGGGATTTCTCTATCACTTCTAAGTCGCGTTTCAATCAAGGTTGCCAAGCTTAGATGGCGTATTTAACATGAGGGCGCACGTAAGAATTGTACATCATGTGGGAGATGGATGGGTCGAATCTTCCGAATGCTCTCTGCAGCAAGTCGACGTACTGGCGGGCTCTCTTTGCAGTTGCCTCTGGCTGCTTTGAATAGTTAAGGTCACTTAGAATTAGCACACCAAGGTCTCGTTCTTGGAAAGTTGTTTGCAATACATGTGTCCCAAGCCTATACAGGTAGTCATGCATATGGCGTAATTGAACAGCGTGACATTTTTGCACATTGAACGGTAGTGTATTCAGAACTGACCAGTTTGAAATCGTGTTGAGGCCACGCTGGAGCTTTTCGTGGTCGTTTGGTTCTTTGATCACTCGCCATAATTTGATATCATCCGCGAAGAGTAGGAAATCGGAAGTAATTTCCCTCGCCAGATCGTTTATGAAAATCAAGAATAGACGGGGCCCGAGCGCCGAGCTTTGTGGTACGCCGCACTCCACCTCAATTGCGTCGCACAAGGATTCTCGTGCTCTCAACTCCAACCGACGTCCATGCAGGAAATTGCCTATCCAACGCAGCAGTGGGTCACCAACGCCATAGAGCTGAAGTTTATGGTGGATAATTCGGTGGTCTAAGCGATCAAACGCTTTTGAGAAGTCAAAGTAAATGACATCAACTCCTACTCCACCATCAACTGCTTCAGTCCAGCTATTGCGTGCAATTAACAAGTTCGTAGTGCATGAGCGCTTTTTTCGGAAGCCATGTCGCTCTGGTGCTATCATCTTGTGATTTTCCAGCTACTGCATGCGTACATCAGTGATGACAGACTCCATAGCCTTGGAAAGCACAGGGAGTAGCGTTATAGGACGGTAAATGGTAGGGTCAGCGCGACTATCTCCCCTCACTTCCATATTGTTTTAATATGCTTCTCTTCCATACCGCGCTGATAGAATATAGCCAGAGGTTCCGCCAGGTCACTGGCTGCTGCCTGTAAGGCCTTTAGTCGAATGTGATCTACACCATGGGAACTGTGGCTGCGCAGGGACGATAGTTTCTGCAGTAAAAGGGATATTGGATAAACCTGATGGTGGGACAATAGAGACAGGGACAGCCGTTGGATCCGTTACTCTCTGGAACGTTTGTAAGCAATGGAACCATAGGAGATCGGCTGCTTCCTTTGCTGATCGCGTGCACCCATCAGTCGTGATTAGTGACGGAATTCCGGCTTGAACCTTACGAAAGCCATTAACATGCTTGTATAAGAGTTTGCATTTCGTGAAGAATCGCTTCATTAACTCCTGTTGATGCGTCACCTTGTCCTCGAAGATCAAGCTCACACAGAAGTTACGCTGTGCTACATAGGTAGTCCGGGTTTCGGACTTCGGGGAGACCTTGTGAGATATCCATGCGAAGTCCATCAAGAACATGCATTTACAAGTTATGATCCTCAAAAAGGACTTCTTCTCCTTTGACAATGGAAGGATTTCTCCCCAGACGCGTGCGTTACCAGTGTGATAAATGTCCTTGTGAAAGTGTCCCAGGCGATTTCTGAGGGGTGGCAATCATTTAAGAAGGTCCAAGACACAAGCGCGGATAACACATTGTAGCGCGTGACACTTTATCATTCTCTTCCTCAGGTATTCCGCCTAACATACATAGATAGACAATAGAGTCACATGGTCACTGCGACCCAATGGTGTGCTTGTAATTATTCCGTCGACAATTAGTTCTTCGTTGGTGAGCACAAGATCAAGTATCGACAGCTTGTTAGCAGTTCGAAATCCGGTGGGAGAGGTCACGTGGTTGTACAGAGAGTAGCTGAGAATTACCTATTATAAACAGGTTTTGAACTGCATGCTATGGGTCGCCGGTATTTCTAGGTCGTGTACATTAAAGTCCCCTGCGATGAGAATGTGACTGTATGTCTTGCTCAAAGCAACCCGAAGGACGTGGTTCAGTTTGGTGTCCATTTCACACGTAGAATTTGGTGGACGGAATCACAGCTATAAGACATGTGTCTTTGTTTTGCAAACATAACCGGCACCAAAGCGAATCTGGGGCGCGGATCTCTGGGTGGTCAATAAGTTCACATCGGAGTTTGGCCTTGTAATACAGAATTACGCCACCACCTCTTCTAGCTCTGTCTTTCCGGAGCAGTGACATACCAGGTAAATTCACTTCAGAATCTGCTATCTCAAAGCTTAATCGGCTCTCCGTAATCATAATGAGATCCCCGCGGTTGTGCCGCCTGGCGTTCTCTAAGTTCGGCCAACTTACTAAGAAGATCTTTAGCGTTAGTATACAAACATGATGGTGTTTTCGATGTTAGAATGTGTGGATGGGCAACAAATTCGTGTTTAGTTTTAAGCCGACCGTCGGTCGGCTGCTTATTGTTTTTTGCATGGGTCATTGGTTCTTGAATTTTAGGCAGGCTGCATGATGGCATAGAGGGTCTCAGATCGAGATATTCTCCTGTGTGTCTCCCTGCCCGGCCAAGTGTCGCGAATGCTGTATTGTCTACAACCCTGCAGGATTGTGGAGGCGAATATGTTATTGAGGTTGCATGTTCCAACGAAGTACTGATAACTAGTGGCCGTGCACCTGCTATCTTTAGCCTAATCTCGGTAGGCAACCTGGAGCGATGCTTCAACCAGCTATCCAATAGGACTTCTGTCATTCCTTTGTAGTGTAGCACGACTTTAAATATTTTTGGACCGCGGCCCTTGTAGTTTGGAGATGAAGGAATTCTGGTTAGTGATTTAGCGATAACGTGGTCCAGAGAGAGAGTGCTTCTCGGATGTCGCACGACTGCTCTCCGTCACGTTTTGCGCTTCGTGCTCAGGAGAGCCCAGTAGTTCAGGAACACCATAAACAAACACGGTATTTTTACTTTCGTTCGTAGAGACGGCCATGGTTTTCTTTTTCCTTTGGCATTCCTTTCCAATGAATATCGGGTAGTATGCGCTTGATGTGTCACGAAAATGAACTGCTGAGAGTTAAATCCAAGATTACTCGAAGTAATCGGGGTTCGCCGTAGTTCACTGAATTTGGGTGACGCGCTACACGTCGTAGCCCAGTTGACTCAACCCGAATACCAATCGCATAGCAGATGGCATGCCACTGGTTGCGATCATCTACCAACTTGACCTTTATTATACCCGAACTGGACTAAGGAAGGTTAGTACACACGAACTTTAACGCACTGTGGTTCTCTTTAGCGAATGTTGGTTTGAGTGTTTTGGCTGTCAACTTGAATTATTTGGCAGGCACTAAAGAACGCTGTGAAAACGGCACCACATCGTTCGTGCTTGGTCCAGAAAATGGACGTACGGTTGTCACTTTAGAACATTTTATCGAGGCGATCGATGGGTATGTTACTCGGCTCTGGACTGTCAGTGTCGATGTTGTGACCAACTCGTGAGATATGGCGTCTAGGGATGAGTCAGTAGCAGTCACGCTGGATGTGTCTTGCTTACTTAAAGGGTTAGTAACTGTCGGAGTGGGTGGCGCAGATGACGTCGGGCGGTTAGCAAGCCTGACTTAAGTCTTCGACTTAGGGACAGAGCTCTGAGGGTTTTGCTGTAGAGGAAGATCAGTGTTGTTAGCTTCTAATGGCAAAGCCCTGCAGCTTGTCATCTGCTGGACTACTTCAGTAGGTTTTTCACACTTTTATCACAGGTGATATTACCCATTTGACTATTGGGATTGCTGTGCAAGTTTGGCAAAAGCAGAGCGAATCATTCAGGTTGATTTGTCTCTTATATTGTAGTTGACTTAAACCAGCACAGAGGGGGTGGAACGGGAGGTCGCAAAACTCACTAATAATACATCTTTTAACTAGGCATGCGCACTTCTGCTCGCCACATTTGCGGTTAGGTGGAATTAATCCCATTGAGGGCCGTTGTTGAAAACGAACGCTGTCGTCGTCGGGTCACGTGAGGTAGTGGGCGAGTGACGCTTGCGTTCTTTGTTCTAGTCGCACTCTAGACGTCGGTTGCCGCAGGCGAGTGTGCACGACGAGGACACGTGCACGGAGCTTGGCTAGTTTATTAATCCACACTGGTTCCTGTAGGACAAAGCTGTTGGAATTGGCTTGTTATAGGTGGATGACAGCGAAAGGTACCGGCGATGGGCGAATGCAATTGAAACTTCAGCTTGAGTCATAGCTTCATTAGAAATGATCCTATGGATGTAATTCTAGGATCGCCAGATAGCGCGGCGAATTCTTGATCCACCACAGTGTCAAAGCAGTAAAAGCTGTTAAAAACAACAGAGTGGCGCGTCTGGATAAAAGCACGAAGCGCGCTAAAACAACTTGAGTAGCACGAATCACTTTCCGTAGGAAATTCTTCCGAAACAATATGCCCACTGAACACGGAGAGTTACTCCGATTCGAATAAGTGTATGATGACTGCGCTAGGTGAAGAGGAAGATGTGAAACTCTGTGACAGAGGAGAGCACGTTTACTATGCGACCAGTCAGGTCAGCAGACAGCACAGATTTATCTCGGGACATTGCACGGTTCAAACGAAATCTGTGTTTCGTTCTTCAGTTATACGGCTCGTGCGCCCAGCCCAATAGGCTTCTTCATCTTTATTCAAATTCGCGACTTGTATGGTCATGGAGTGTACTTTCTCAGTGGTAAATCTCAATTAGAACTGTGCTAATTGGCTTACTAGCACCTGTTATTTCTCGGGCATCATGCATCTTCGATGGATTCGTCGTTTTGCCTCATAACTGATACCTCTCATCAAACAAATGCCTTTGCTCATGAGCTGCTTCTCGATCGATTCGACGCATAACCAGCCACAGCGCCTTTTGCGACGCTTTTTAGTCAGCGGTGAACCTAATCGGCATGCTTTCTTCCGATTACAATTAAGCGCGCATTGTCCAATTATTCACTTCTAGGTCGAGTGTTTCACGCCAACACAATGCATTTGCACTGGACACCCTCCGCGATTGGCACAACTGGATTAATTAGGTTGGAAGTGGGGAGTGTATGCGTGCCACAAGCCTAGTGAGCAGCTTGCAAACTCGTGCAGGCTCACACCCCACGTGGGTGCCTTTCCATAGCCCTATCAACCGTGGCGGGCATAAAAGATCTCCGGTAGGTAGAAGTGCATGCTAAGGTGATCGCACTGACACGTTCAATAACCATCCCTAGTGAGCTAACTGCGTGTGTATACCGCCTGCGCACATACTCAGTGTCACCAGTCTACTCTTCCGAGACGCTCACGAGATGGGCTTAGCTCGCGAAGCTCGCCATATTCATCGGCTCCCTGCCGTGTAGCTCAGCAACGTTACTGTTCTGTTTGGACGTACTCATGACTTTGTACTGTGCGTTTAACACACCAGCTTCCAGGCGACATGGTCCTCCACACACCAAGAAAAACATCAGATGGCCACTTCGTCCTATTGGGACGCGTCAGTGATTCGCCCCTCCCGGTTCCACCAGGAACCGAACACGACCACTAGGGGCTTGAACCATTATGCAGCACCGGGCATAGAGGACGGTGGCGGACCGCCATGATTTACAAGCCCACTGCGATCTAACATGACTCATTTCCCATGGGACGCTTTGGTAGATGCCGAGCCCCCCATTGGGTGCAAACTGAAGCGTAGCAAGGGGGACAGTTCGCCCCGGGCGGCATTTTGAGTACCGTTGATTTTCCCATACCATATATAAAGGGCGAAATTTCCAGATTAACTGAGCGTTGAATAGTTTAATGTTACTCCGCAAGCTCAACAGCACCTTTGCACCACGTGTCACATCTGTGCAAGCGTTTTCCCCAGCGATCCCCTTGCTTGTTCCATTATGGTCACTTTCAAAACAATGTCTTAAACGATCATTCATTTCATCGTAAACGAATGTACACTTTACCCCGAGCCGATAGTGTGACCTTCACGCGCCTATTCTGCCCTCAGTCAGAGTGAAAATTTCACCACCGTCCCGGGCGGTAGATGTGATTGCTACGCTGGTCTTCATTTCCGCTAGTGAGGCATTTTACTTACCACTCTGCTAGCCTGATATCTCGCGATACATAGACCGAGGCATTATCGCCCTCACCATTTGACCTGATTCCTTTCCTATTGTTATTTTTTGCGCTCTGTCGTTTGAACTGTTATACGTTGTGGAACAGGGCGTCGCCGTTCCTGGAGGAAGCGTAGGGCGCATTGGAACGAGCACCGTCCACAGGATAGAGGAAGTTTCTCCAACTTACCCATTCCACTACTTTTGCCATGGGCTTAATTACCACGAAGTATCTATCCCATTCTACTTTTTGTGTGCCATTCCGATCCTTGCTGACTAATTTTGCAGCGGGCTAATGTTCGGTTTCTTCATTCACTTTAATCCAAATGTCATTAGCGGTCGCGGTAATCGTCCCCAGCGAGGTCTTGCGTCGGGTGTCGCCGCCGCCGCTGTCTACGGCACAGACTCGTCCAATCCAACCCACAATAACCGCCTGCATGAACCCTCAGAGACTTCAGAAGAGAATGTGTACACATCGGAATTTGTGCTTGTGTGAAACGCCTTCCGAACCGGTCGATTCTTAAACTCTGCCCACTGTATCGATCTTCCCCCCGTTCCCTCATTCATTTTACCCAGTATTTGAGAGCGCATTGCGAGGTCACGATGATGCTACACACCATCAACCTTTAGGCTATTGATTACACCAAAACAAGACCAGTTGCCCGAGGAGCGGCGCAACTGCATTTGAATCTTCCAAATTTCTTTCCATTTTCAATCGACCCTCTCGTGTATACAGCCGCTGTATATAAAAACGTATGTTGTCCTCCATTTTCTCTCTTCCTGTTTCACAACGTCGAATCAACCGTTTCTACCCCCAAACTGTAATGTGGTCCCCGTCCCGGACAGTTGGTTCCATTTGGCTTCTGTTTCTCCGTATCGTGTCATTGTACATGCACGTTTTTACACCTCCACTCAGTCGGTGTGATCCGCCGCGTGGATCACCGTACCATCCCTATGCCTATCTGCCTACTTTTGTTTCTGAATTCTCTGTGATTTTTTGATCCACTGAATCGTCACGGCTGTAAATATTTTCCTCTTCTCTTCACCGTTGTATTCCCTTGTCCCATTCGATGCACCGGCTTGTCGATCTTTCCATGGGTCACCTGATTTAATAGGCTAATACTGTGTTCTTGCTTCCCTTTTCATGTCCTTTTTCATTACTTTCTCACTTTTATCTTCGTTTCCTGTTCATTGGTATCTTCAAGATTGCCGCTTCTTGTGAAGCACTGTTTTTCTAGTCATTTACTGAGCATTTCCTTAACACTGGTCCTTTCTCTACGCTGCTTTGCAAATCAGCGTGTGGTCCGCTTGTAATAGGTGGAAATGGTGACAGATGGGGACGTAACCCCATTCAGAAAACACGCTGTCCAGTTCTGTGGTGCTGTTCTTTCTATATTTCAAACCATACTATCTGCCGTTGCGTGCCCCGCCCGAGCATGACAGGAATTCGGAACACCTTTTGCGGTTGGTTATAACTGTCACTGGTCCGTGTGGAAGGGACACATCTCCTCTAGCCGTGCAGTCGGTGTCGGCTGTCAACCAACGGCCGCGTTTCTTGAGCTCATGCTGACTGTCATAATCAAGCCCTAGTTTCTTGGACCACAAGCCGTGGTGCCTACCCCACAATTGTATGATCATTTGTCTATCAAAACCGGTCCTCGTTTTTGTTGGAGCCAGGCTCCTACAAACAGTGCTGTTGGTATGCAAGACGGGCGCTCGCGTCATTTGACTGAACCATAATCGCAACACGTTCTTGATGAAGCTTTTGCAGGCTTCCCTGTTAGTGTAGTGGCGAGTGCGAATCTAGCAAAAAGGTACTTTGTTCAATTGACAAGGGAGCAAAACTATCCAGAATGGAAGCCCATTATATAGTGAATCTGCTGAATATCCTCAACCGCATTCACGCGTCGTGGGTGTTAATTTTGTTGTAGCCACTTTGGCCATCTAGCCTCTGTTTTCCGCGAAACCCGCCGTGTTTCCTTCGACTTTGTTGTACACTTGGATATTGCGGTGCTCTGAAATTGAACTGGTGTCGAACTATCGTGCTCACTCTACCCATGGTTTCTTCTCTCGTGGGAGTATAAGCTGAAAGCTTAGCTGAAAACGTCTACTATCACCGTGACTGCGGAAGGTCACATCAGTATCTCCGGATGATCCACGTATGGGCTGCTCCGCACTACACATCTTCCTTCGCATACCCCGCATAAAAATAAACAAATAATTTATTTCTCCACTTGGCGTGACACGGCCTAGGTTTTTGGTATGATCAAACCGTACAAAGGAATCGCGAAGTGGTTAATTACTAAATTGAACAGACAATTTACGTGTGATCACAATTTGGGGAGGCACCTTTCATCTAACGTAATCATTGAGTCCTACGGAAAGCACTATCAATCGCATGTTGGTTGGTATTTCGCGAAGATATTGCGGAATAGCAGTTTTGTGTGTCAGTGACATGCTGGCATATACTTGGCTTGTGGCGTAATGTGTTGTTGCAGCGGAGTGAGGGGTATTTGAATAGAGTGCGAAGCACTGCAGTAGGTGGCGGCTTGAGCTAGAAAGATTTTTGTGTTTCTCCATGTAGCAGAACCGGTGCACCAGCGTCAATTATATGGAATCAAGACGCCAATCAGCCAGGCATATTCGAAGATTTTTCCGCAGTAATTGCACCAGTTTCACGAAAAGGGACAGGTTAGAAAAATAGAATTATGAACAGCTTAACCGACATACAAGTGAAGAAGACCGCTATGGTGATGACAGTTTTAATAAATCTGTGTTGTATGGGAATATAATACAAAGCTATGGTTGGCGGCATCCGGTTTCGGATTTGCCTGTCACTGTGGCCAGCCACATGACGCCTGCGCCTACAGAGGGACCATGGGTGGCTTGCGCTGCACCACCCACAGCTCCAACCACACACCCCATATCCAGTGTAAACCCGAAGGAATAAGACCGGGAGGCATGCGGATGGGAACCACGTTTCATCAACTGAGCCGGCCCACACTCCTTCACAGGCAAACACAAGCACCCTGTATTTGGGTAATCAAGCGCACACAAGGCGGTGGCTGGACCGCCCACACTGAGTGCATGGAACCACTCTTTGATCCTAACACAGCCACAAGGACCGTGCACCCCGTCCCCTCCAGCAACGACCAACTGTCTCCTGGGGCCAGTATGGACGAGGTAGTGGGTAATAGACAGGTTAGGCACGTTGTCAACATGCACATCAAGCGCAGCCTCACCGGGGATATCAAGCAACAACCAATCACTTGAGAGAAAGATAACAAAGAAAATAAATCGAGTAATGCATAAGGAAAGGGTGACATATATCTTAAAGTAATGAGCATCTGAAGTAAATTGTTTACAGAAGAATGCGAGATAAGTTCACGAGGTCAGAAAGTATACTTTACGGAAGTGCCACGAACACAAAAATGTTTTCGAAAAGGACTAGAACTGGCTTAAGTGCCGTGTGCAAGTTTATAGAAGAGAGTACAGGTATACATTTATAGGAGAAAGCAAAGCATTGGGACAAAATTGAAAACCCACCACCTGAAATAAACAGACTTAGCACGCAAGCAAACGGTGACATAAATCTTAAATTAGTGAGCATATGAAATAAGTTGTTTACAAAAGAGTACGTTTACAAAATAATACGAGGTAAGTTCACTAGGTCAGGAGGTTTATTTTACGGAAATGCTACAAACACGAAAATGTTATCGAAATAACTACAAGTGGCTTAAGCGACGTGTGCAAGTGTATAGAAGAGAGCATAACCAGGCATTTATATGGGAAAGAAAAGCATTACGGCAAAATTGAGAACCCACCACCTGAAATAAATAGACTTAGCATGCAAGCACGCGGTTAGTAAACCGAATGCAGCGTACCTACAAACGCTGCGCCGGTTCTGCCTACGTTCTCTGCAGAACCCGTCGGCGCTTCGGTAGTAATTCCGAGTGTCCGCGCTCATGGCTCACTAGGTCTGCCTGACTCAGGCACTCGCGACCGCATGTGCTACAGCACCATGCACTCGAAGTCGATTGAGTACAATTCATCGGTGCTTGCCGCTTCCGCACTTGACGCTTCTTCTCTGCATGCATGAGGTCTTTCTCCCGCACTTCAGCAACTGCCTTCGTGATGAGAACGCTTTCGATTCCCATGATCTGCAATCAAGATTAGGACGTGTGAGGCTCACTTTAATCATGTCCTGGTAACGTAACTTTGGTTTCCCCACGTGCCGCTTCCCAATACTCAGCTGGCCGTATAAAAGTTGTTTCGGTATCCGAGTCGAATCCATACGCCACACATGACCGAGCCATCTCAGGTGTCTCAGTAAAAGTATGCAGTCCACTGCATACATCCCACTTCGGCGCAACACTTCCGTGTCTGCAACTCTGGCGCCCCAGCCGATCCGCAGAATTCGTCGCAGACACTGCTGATGGAACCGCTCGAGATATCGCACCTCCCGACGGTACATCGTCCACGTTTCACTGCCATATAGAAGAACGGACAGTACCATGGATTTGTACACCATCAGCGTCGTGCCAGTGGTAAGCTGATGGTTGTTCCACACTCGGTAGTCAAGCTTCACGAATGCCGCTGCCGCCTTCAACACGCGAATACGCAACTCAACGTGTAGCTACTGATCAGTCGACATCACACTCCCAAGGTAGCTGAAACGGGAGGTGGTTTTCAATACTTCAGCACCAATGCTGATTCGCGGCAATATTGAAAATTGCACCTCCGATGAAGGCTGAAAGAGACAGACAGTTGTGCTTGCGTTGATGGTGAGCCCGAATTTGGCCACTGTCGAAGCCAGAGCATTAGTCATGTGCTGCAACTCATGCGGGCTGTGTGAAAACAACGCACAGTCGTCAGCAACCAGCAACATAGGGATAGTTGTCTCACAGATTAGAGTTCTCGCACCGAAACGACGGATGTTCAGCAACCCACCATCAATACGGTGCTCCACCCGAACACCGTAAGCACAAGCCGCATCAAAAGCACAAGACAACATTCCATGAAGATAGATATTAAACAGGACAGGAGCTAAGACACAGCCTTGCTTCACACCAGAGACAACTGCAAAGTCATCCGAGGTCTCTCCACTCAGCTGCACCCTCGCTCGCATACCACTGTGCAGACATCCAATTAAACTTACAAACTTACGCGGGCAACCAAACTTACCCAACACCAGCCACAATGCCTCGCGGTTCACCGTATCAAATGCCTTGGTGAAATCAACAAAAAGCGAGTACAGTGGCTGGTGTCGTTCTCTGCACTTCTCTTGCAACTGACGAGCTGCAAACACCATATCTATAGTGCTGCGACCCGAATGGAATCCACACTGCTCAACCGCCACATTATGTTCCACAGCCTGACTGACGAGGCGGTTGAGCAGGATTCGGACAATCACTTTGCCCACACAACTCAGCAAGTTGATGCCACGATAATTCGTGCAACATTGCTTGCTACCTTTGCCCTTGTATAGTG